TTTAAAAAAAAGGTTTTTTTTTTTTAAAGGGGGGGGGGTTTTTAATATAAGGAAAGTGGAGATGTGGAGAGGAAAAATTTTTTTTTGGGGGGAGGCATCATGTGGGGGGGGGTGGGGGGGGGGGGGGCACGAGAAGGGCAGAACAACAGAAAAACGAAACACACACAGACGCGAAACTGCGGGCGGCAGAAAAGCTGCGCGACTTTCAGTACACTGGTGGTCCTGATGTACCGCGGTAAAACTCGCTTGTCACGGAATTTGGCTACACCACTAAAAACAATATATCCCCCCCACACTCCACCGCGGTAAAACTCGCTTGTCACGGGATTTGGCTACAAATACAAAAAGTTGTATATTCCCCAACACTCAATAGTGCGGTGCCCCGATATACCGCGGTGATACTTGCCTTGTCACAATACCGCGGTATGATTCGGTATATCGGGACCATCCCACAATAGTACGCACCGTTCCGAAGAGCCTCCCATGGGCGCCTCCACCGGCTTCTCTTCGGAGGCGGCGACGGCGACGGCGCCACAGCTCTGTTTCAAGCGGGTACACCACCACCACCACCCCGACGGCACGCGATAGGTACATACACAGGAGCGGAGGAATATGATTAGACATCCCCTAACAACGGCAACGATGGAAACAAGCGGAGTGACTACCGGCACCACAAAAAAAAAAAAGGGAATGAAGACTCAACGCCTCTCGTTTGTGTGTGTGCTGTTATCCCATCTCCTTCTCGACTGCAGTTCTGATGCCATTATTCGGTTTGTCTGGGCGCTCAGGGCCACACAGGAGGGAGGTGTAAAGGTTAAGATCTATCTGTTTGTTTGTCGCTGTTGTTGGTCGTCTTGGTCGGCGGCATGAAACACTACACCCAACGGTCAACGGATGTGCCGTGACGTTCAACTCGTGCTCCCGATGGAACCGGCCGTCACGCTCTGCGCATACCCTTGCCAGAAAAAAGAAGAAGTCACCAAGTGCCAATAAAGGCCAAACACAATATTATCCAAAAACAAATATGGCGCTGCTAACGTTAGTCTTGAGAGAACCAAAGGAAGCGTAGCGTTTGAATTTACCAACACAACCTCGTAGCGTGTTGCAGTACACCCAGTGAAGGATGGGGGCAGAGGGGGTCACAGGGCAATGACGTGGCCTCCAAAACATGTGTCTGGTGTCCTAGCAAGCGCGGAGTCTGGTGCCCAAAGCGCTTGGACCACAAGCAAACGCGGTTCGAATGCAAACACAGCGGAGGCTCGAGATTGAAAATTGATGGCATACGGGAGTGGAACTTACCACCTCGGATTGAGAGCCCGATTCTGTCACAGTGTCGTTTACAATCGCTGCTGGTTGATGCTTGTGTTTCGACAAGTTGTGGGATGGGCACCCCATTAATGTTGCCGAGCATGGTCGAGTGGAGATAAAGGAATTGTGGCCTAAGCGTTCTTGGAGGTAAGAATTCCTTGATGGGCGCTGGGTTCGCCAACACCGGTCGGCTGAATAAACCCATCCACAGGCTATTGCTGGTGAGGAACCCACGGTGCATTCAGCCCTGGAAATAATAATATTGCCTTCAACATGTGCCACATTAACGGCGAATATTACGAACACGAGCTACCAAATAACGTGATCACCCATGACGGCAAGCATAGACGGACTGGCCGTTACAGCCGACGGACTGGCCGTTACAGCCGACGGACTGGTCCGCACGACCGAACGAATCAATTGTCGGCGTCGCCGAAAACTCAGCGTCAGTGAAAAGAGGCTTCACACACCCAACAGGAAGGTCTATCACCCGGCAGGCAGCACCGAATCTCCACCTTCAGCGAATCCCTTTGAGCATTACTACCACAAGTAGCCGGGCCATCGGTCTTGATCGTGTGTGTGTCGCAAATATCTACTGACAGCAGGCATCACGATACATAGATGAATTTGCACAGTACTTGCTCACCATGAACTCTTGAAATATGATCTCATCAGCGGCGAGATCAACGTCCAGCTGCTCATCCCCGAAAGCATTGTCCGTGCCCGCCTTGGAAGCTCCGTTGGCTAATCTTTTTCGTGAGTCGGGGTGTGGGGGGAGGTTGAAGGGTGTGGGCGATCCGTCGGGGAACGGGTCAATGGGTTGCAAGTGCGGTGAAATGGAATACGGCTACAACGGTACAACGTACCGCAAACATCGGGAAGGGCTTACCTAGCTGCGAGCATCAAGTTCCCAGCTCGGAGAAGTGCACGGGGGTGCCAAAACATAATGTGCAGCAGAGAAATGTAAATCCGTTCCTGTGTTCTCAACCACCAAACCACATATTGCTGTGTCTCATGTGCCCGCCTAAGACACACATGCTGCTTATCTTACACAGAGAGAGGCAACGTGTGCGCTTGTCGAGATACAACCAAGAGCCACAATATTGCCGATACTCATCGAATCCCAGGCTAATTGTCAGCAGTCGGTGTATGGCTAGGTCCTAGACGACTCAACGACAACGATGCAAAGGCCACCAAACTACACGCGTGTCGCGTTGTCTCTCACTTCAAGTGTTCTCCGATCGAACCCGTGGATTTTGCGATCGCGCTCAAGACTGCCACGAGACCCTCATCAATGCCAGCCGCGTAGCCTTTTAGTATCTCTTCCACCCCCTGCTGGTACATGGTACTTCCGATCCTGAGGCTGAAGTCCCTATTTCCCTGAGCGGCGAGTGCGTCGTGCGTCGTCTACTCTGTGTACGGCAGCCCCAGTAAACAGCGCAGTACAACTGAATACAGCAGCAGCATGCACCACGTCTCATGGGCCGCACCAATGTAGAGGCCCCGCAGAATGATATGCGGTGGAATAGCACGAAGCTTGTTCTGCGTATGTCATATGGTTCCATAATCGCGCCACAGAGAGACCGACCAACCAACGCAAGAGCACCAGCTGGGAGGACGGTGATGTCGTATCCAACGAACGACAACTCCGGGTGGGAGCCTCCCTCGCGCAGACCATCGGAAGGGACGATAGTGCTTGCACCCAGGCGACGCTCCATCATCAGAGACGAGGAGGGCGAGGGCGAAGGTGTTGAAGAGAAGCCTGATCCCCCGTTGGGACGATGGCACCAGGTGCAGCAAGTAGGCGTAAAACACGGTCGTCCTTTGGCACATGCTTCAGAGTGTTCATGCAATGCACTGATGCTGCTGCTGCGCACAAAGAGTAGCCTTGGAAAACATCAGCTCAATAACAGCTGCCGCCAGTGTACAGGACGAATAGGGGGTCGCGAAGATCTGCTCAATGAAGGGTCGGGCCACTTCTGCGGTGTCGTGTGCACAATGTTGTTCCGCCGATGAAACTCTGATGGGCTGCACTGCTGTTGGCGCATGCATTCGCTTCAGACGTCGCGGCGGCGTGCACTTCGTGGGTACGGCTCTGCAACTACACCCATTCCTGATAGAGCCACGTTTTCTCCTGCTTCCTTGGTATTGTTGTTGTTGTTGTTGTTGTTGTCTTCACCTTCACCAAACCTTCATCTGTCCGTCCTATGTACAGCAGTAGCAGTAGCAGCAAACACTTTACGCGGCATGAGATCGACTTTTGATCGGGCTCTTGCCGCCCTGTCCCTGTCCCTATTCCCCGCTTGCTGTATTGGCTCGGAAGCACTCTCTTTGTCCCTGTCGGAACCCGAACATCATGCTCTACTCTCTGTGCTGCTGCTGCTGCGCTATGGGAGACATCGGCTGCTACCTTCGTGAGGTGAGAGCTTTTGAGCACGGCTGCTCCCATCATCCCATTGTCGCCGCAGTCCGTCCGTTCTTGGAATCTCCACTTCCACAAGCTCGATGTATGTTGTACCGGTACCAACACTAGTAGTTATTCGTGCTTACTTCTTCCGTCACAACAAAGAAAGGGGTCTCCTCTTGCACATCACCAACCGCCGAGTTGTCGTATGCGGACTGTTAACAGTCCGGTATGCGGACTGTTGACAGTCCGGTGTATGGCAGTCGAAGTGCTCCGGAGTTCGTGAGTGCCACTGTACCGGGACAAGGAAGTTGCAGACTCCTTTTCTCGAAATTTCGGAAAAAAAGGCAAACACCTCAGGGGCAGCCTAAGCTTGCACAGGGGGGCCCGAGAGAAACCAATCTGTTCAGCCCCGAATCGGAATTGTGTTCATTAGGATACAAGACGGCATAGTAGATACTGCAGGTGCCGTTGACAGCAGTGGGGGAAAGTGCTGTACGGTCGTGGTGCCGCTAGCAACCCGAGGGATGGTATCAACCAAATCTCGTGCACGACCGGTAGCATAAGTACAGTGTAGCTCATACATACGGCCAAATAGGTAAGTAGAATCCACCTAAACGTTGTTGAAGCACAGCACGCGCAGGAAACTTTGAAAGCCTTTTAGTCCCTCGGTGACAATCTTTCTTGCTAGCTTTATCTGCTTATGGCGTGCCCGGCAATCCTCGTGCTTAGAGCTAACTGTTGGTTCCCCGGGTGCCTTATCGGAAGTATGGCGTGTGCGTTGCTACCGACGGACTTAAAAAAAAACAAAAACAGCTGTCGTTGGTTGATGGCAATAGTCCGTCCGCTCATGCTAATGCTGCCGCTTGCTGGGCCAACAAAACGTGCAAAACGCTAGCCCTTCCTCACACCCCTCACCCCCCCCCCCTACAAACACACATCACCAAACATCTCCATGCGCTGTGCCCCGGACCAGAACTGGATGTGTTACCCAGCGTACTGCCTTGGAGCGTCGTGCCCGTGCTGCGTGGGCGACACGCGCGAGCTGGTGGCGGAGAAATATAACCTACCCATCGTTTCGTGGGATCCGGACGAGTTCGGCTGGTGCTTCGTCAAGATGATCGGCGCGAGGCTCATGTGCTTCTGCAGCGTGTGCCTGATGCCGTGCCTTCACATCTCCCAGATGAGGGCGGAGGTAGCGTTCCGGAAGCACGGGAAGGCGACCGTGTGTCCGTGCTGCTGCTGCGGGTGCGGCGGGGGCAAAGGCCCCGGTGAAACCACGTACAAGGAGGAGGAGCTGGACTACCCGCGGGACGATGGAGTGAAGCGCCCGCATGCCATTGAAGAGGCCGACTACCCACGGGAAGGCGGCAAGAGGGTCGAACTCACGCCCGAGAAAGAGGTTAAGGTCGTGTTGGATTATCCGCGTTGAACTTGTTGCTTCTTCACCCTTGCTGTGTAGTTAAGGGAACTAAGTGTGGCGAATCGGGTTGGCCATAATCATGAAATGAACGTTTGCGATGGGTATTTTAGCGCCGGTGGGGGGGGGGTATCCATCGTGTGTCATCACAGGGAGGCGGCCTTTTAATAGCTCTCGTGTGCTGTCAGTCTGTGTCTCCACTGCTTGTGTGTGATGTAGATAAGCCGTTAGGCCGCCAATGGGGTGAGGGTGTTCCCGTGCGTACAGTGCCGCATGTTACAGTTTCAGTTACAGCAGTGACGAGTGTGTGCGCCACGCTCGATTTCGATGGCTCCCTGGTTGTCTCCCGCACCATATCATGTTTTCGGGTAGGATGGGGTTGTAGAAAGTTTGAAAAATGAAAATAACGCCAATGGCGGTAAAGTTGTGCTACCAGTATTTCAATCGGTTTTGTGGCCCTGCCCGTGGGCTTGTATCCTGTTCTTTTTTCGTCCTGGCAACAATAAGGTGTGCCACTATGTGACGTGGTTTCAGTTAGGGTTAGTAAAATAGTCTGTCATCCCCAGGCGCGACACAGGGGTGTGTGGAGATCGATCTGTTGGGGTGGTCTCTGATGGGAATTTTAGGGGTTTTATTTGCACCTCGACACCAACTTGGAGTGTCTGAACCTTGACTCCGACGTCGAGTGTCAGGTGTGTGCCACCGTCTCTTTCATCGTCAAATTTCAATCTCTTTCGTTGTGTTGCAACCCATCGGGACCGAGGGTCCTGATTGTGGGCTCAATTTTCATTGGTGCCTCGCCCAACGTCAAACGGCGCCCTTCCCAAGTTCAAAAAGTGTTTTTTGGGGCACAGCTTCCCTACGCCTCGCGTTTGATGAGCGGCAATAAGCCTCAGAGCATCAGCAAACCACTCGTGCTTTTCGTCGCGCGGGAGGGATGGAGACTGCCGCCAGCGTCAAAATCATCTGTAGCTAGCGGTTGACGTCGTTGCTGGGGACGTTGCTTTAATAATAATCTCAATTTGCCCTCAAACCTCTCTTGCAGTCATTGTTGATTCGGGTAATTTCTGGAGAGCATACTGCCGTCGACTTGCCGTTCAGTGCTCCGATGCCATCGACGGAAAGCTGTTGCGCACTAGACGCTGTGGCCTGCCGTAGGTGGCAAGAGCGTGGAATTGGTGGGAACCTGATAATAGCAGAGCTCGTCAATGTGTTGCGCAAATGGACCCAGACATGGCAAAAGATGATCCTCACCATGCACCTCAAACGCAAAGGACGATGCAAACCTGCCTAGACTACGCGTCTCCCCGCGATTCAACCTCCAACATGAACCTCCAACACAAATCGATGCTATCAACATGTACCACGTGCTACAATAGTAGCTCCCACAGCAATACCGGCTGTCTGTGGTAGCCAACGCCCACTTGCACGCCAACAGTTCATAGAGTGACGCCACGATTGCAGGATACAGATGAATGAACTGGGAAGATAGTCTAGAGTACGGGTGTGGGTCCAGCAAAGCCAATGTCGCTCTCGAAGACGTGCACCCCCGTCACCGCGAGGGTCACGTTCATGACGCTATCGTACGTTGAGGCTCAACAGCTTGGGAGGCAATGGTACGGTGACTTAAAATTTTCTCTATAGAGCTTGGGTTCCATCGCCCCCGAGGGTCACGTTCATGACGCTATCGTCCGTTGAGGCTCAACAGCTTGGGAGGCAATGGTACGCAGAATAAAACATTCTCGATATAGAGCTTTGGTTGTGGCTGGCACCCGACTGGAGTGTTGGTGCTGGTGCAGTACGCTGGTGGCCGAAAGTCGACAACCCCATCGAGGTGTCGCAACGCTGGAGACCGGTTCGAGGGCTGCCCCGTGTTCACATCCGGAGTCCCATGGAGACAGACCCGTACGCTCTCCGGCAAAGGTGTGCCTCTGAGGGCGTCTGGAAGATGATAGCGTATCCGAATGAATCTGTGTACCGCGTGCGTGCGGTGGAATATGTTGCGGGGTGTATCAGCCACGGATTCAGAAGCGAATTAATCCCATGAGCAACGATACAAACATTAATCTAGTGGCGGAGGATCGCTCTCGTCCACAACCATATCACCCGCCTGCAACTCACACAATCGATGTTCGTCTCGCGCCCGATGTGTGGTGGTTGAGCTGCACGCGTAGCAGCAACGTGTCTGTAGACTACACCTTTCTTGTTAGTATTGTCAACGCATGTTCGACCCACTACCTCTATTTGATGTTATTCGTTGAGTCCGCACCGTAGCACAGCACAAGCACTACAGCAGGATACTCGGACCCACACAAGAACTCTGTGCAAAACAGAGATCAAACTCATATTGGGGGCCCAAATTCTACAATGGCTTACACAGCGTTTACTTACAACGTTTATGCTCCAAACTGCTGTATCACATTCTGCTCGGCAGGTCTTGCACGAGTGAGACTAAAAACTGCATGTTTGAGAGAGAAGGGGTAAGTACATTGAAGCTCGGAATGGTGTCTAGGCTTGGCTCGGACAGGCGTCAATTTAGTCTGTACCCCCTTGCTTAGCTGAGTTGCGGTACTCACCAATCGAAACGCCGCATCTTCGAGACCAGAGGGGCAGCGGAGAAGGAGGACAGGATCTGGTGCGCTTTCCGGGCCCTGGTGACAAGCAACAACAACAATCAACAGAAAAAAGACTTCCACTAAGTAACGTACCTCATTTTGATACTGGTTGCGTTCGGCGCGTCTGTGGGGGTCTTGTTTTTACCTACAACATAAAATATGCAAAAACACGGACTACCAAAAGAGAAATATATTGTATCTTGTCTACATAGTTTTTCAGGATCTTGTGTCAGCCTTTGGCCAACCGAGGAGATGCATCTCATCCATTTAGCACCAGCCCTGAGTAAGGTGGGCGGAGGTCACGGCATGCGTTGAATTTGAAGAAAGCGGAGCGCTATTGATAACATCACTACCGATCCAACTAACATCACCACCGACACCAACACCACCACAAACAGTAACAACAAAACAGACGACGACAATATCAACAACAGCATGAAAACAGGACCTAGCAGGCTTTAGACTACCGTAGGTTGCATGAGATACCACACCCCCTGGACCGATTTTCAAAGCTCGATTTCTCTACGACCCAAGAGGATGCCGAAGGAAAACGATACGTCGTCGGAAAGCTCTCGAGGAGATGGTTCCAACTCCGCCTTTTTCGGCACCGTCACTGCTTTCCTTGCCGAGTAATCAAGCGTTGAAAATCGGCCCAGGGGGTGTGATATCTTATGCAACCTACGGAAAGTAGTCGCGAGCAGCCAATTACAGCGGAATCGAAAACCCGCTCGGGGGGGCGTCGTTACCGGCTCTTGTCCCTGTGGTTATGTTCGATCTTGGCTTCGACGAATCCGTCCAGAGAAACTTGCATTTCTCCTTTCAGCTTGAGCTCTAGCTGGCCAACGTGCTCCTCCATGACCGCCCTGACGAAAAACGAAAAAACACGATCGCACGCAGGATTGTATCAGAGGGAAAAAATAGGCCAACAAAAATATGATCCGAGTTTGGAACATTACCAAGACCAAGCCCTTGGCAAGGTGGATAGGGGGGACCACTCAAGAGCAACGAAATTGATGGAACAACGGAACATGTCAGTACCAATACATAAACCCATAGTGAAATGAGGACAAACGGTGTGAGACCAGTGGACCTCGTCATGTTGCTCACGTCCTCTCTTCAGCCACGCAACCCTTCCGTGATTCAAATTGTTGTCGGGCGTCTCATCACCGGATTGAACGAAAACAATTATCCGCTGGGCAAAAAGTAATATTCACAACCTTGACGCCTAGTGTTGAGGGTGCGTCGAGTTGTTTGTACGCCCTCCAAACCGCGTTCTTCGAATAGGATGTGTGCGACCCATAACGTTTTCTCTCTCCCTCTCTCTGTCTGTCTGTCTGTCTGCCTCTCTCTCTCTCTCTCTCTCTCTCTCTCTCTCTCTCTCTCTCTCTCTCTCTCACTTGATGCGCTTCACCTCCGCCTCGCAGTCCCTGCGAAACCTGGCCAAAGCTTCCTGCTTTTGTCTCACCCAAGCCTCACATTGATCCTGTATCCACAAGAGGAAGGTTATTCGCAGGAGCCCGCGAGTCAAATAATTAATGAAACAACGTCCCATCGGTTGCAAAGTATTACCCACGATGTAAACGATACTGCAGGTGGATAGCAAGGGATTCTAGCTTGCCTGTACGTGAGGTTGACAATGGTGCCGCGCGTGTCGATAAGGACAACCAGCTGACAAAAACTCAAGATAGCCATGTCGACCGAAACTCCTTTTCTCCGGAATAAAACCGATTGGCATGGGACGGACATCGCTTGGGTAAATTCTAATTCCTGCTGCGATCACTTCACACCCTACCCCTACCGATTCCCGCAGTCCTAAGCAGCACCTTCAGCGCCGCGTAGGCTGCATCCTTGATCGATCACGTCTGCCCTGGTGCCAAAGACAGCGACAGCAAACAACCCCAGAGCCCCAGATACAACGAAAATTTTCGTCCCGAAGGAGAAAGCCGCATGCGTTCTCCCTTGGGTTAGCTCAGGCAGAAAAAAATCCCCCTCACCTTGACCGCGGTCTCTGTTTCAACGTTTACTGTTAGTCAACCGACCGTCACACGACGGGACCTCTCTCTCTCATCCGTGTGGACCTGGTTGTCTTGTGGGGAGCTAAATCAGCAAGACACATCACCCGCGGACGCTCGTTACCTCATACGCTTTGTCGCGGGGTCATTTGTGTCAGCTCGGTCGGTTAAACACCACGCGGGATGTCCCGTCTCACCATTTTTGCCTTGGTGCGTTCGGCGTCCTCCTCTGCGTCGACCAGTTGGAACCTGTCATCGTCGACGTTGTCCGCAGCTTCCAACGCGTCCGCGGTGCCGTTCTCCTCGTGCTGCTGTTCCTCGTCCTCACTACGCTCCAGCGGGTCCTCCATGTATTGCTCCTCACGCTGTCCCTCCTCACGCTGCTGCTCCTCACGCTGCTGCTCCTGTCCCTGGTGGTCCTGTTGAACCGTCCACTGGTGATGATGGTGCTGCTGCTGCCACTGCTGCTGTTGCCGCCGATAGTGCTGCTCGTGTTGCTGATGCTGCTGCTGCAGCTGCTGCTGCTGATGCTCCTCCTCCTGCTCCTGCTCCTGTTGCCGCTGTTGCTGCTGTTGCTGCTGTTGCTGCTGTTGCTGCTGCTGCTTAGGGTCGACTGTAGGCAGGCTACGGTGACTGATATCCTCCAAACCATGAGTTGGCCTGACGGTTGCGGTTGACGTTAATAATCGTCGTCGTTGTTATGGACAAACGTCTTTTGCTCTGCCTTCGTTAACACTAACAAACTCCAAACAAACCATTTTTTCTGCGACGTACGCCGAGGCTCATCTCCAAGTTGATTCTGCCTTAAAAAAACCAAACAAATGCGTATGAATTATTGTCAAAACGAACAACAACAAACACGGAGCACCTTGCCTGAACATGTAAAGGATCATGATGAGCACGAATACAATGGACGTAAAAGCCGTAAGGTCTCTTTGTTGTTATCGCCGCGTGACAAGGATGATAGGTTATTCGAGAATGTGTTTTGTTGTCTTCGCAGAATAACGTAATTCTGGCTCGAGCTGGTACTTTGACAAGTCGCTATAGGCTCTTCATCAACAGTTATTGCTTTGTCAATTCGATCTCAAGTCCGCACGCCTCAGAAACATGGCCCATGAACATCAGCGGGCCGAGCAATCACAGTGTCAAGTGAGGCCATGGTATCAAGTGTAGCGCGGTCAGGTTAAGGAACGGACTCAGCCAGTTGCGGAGTCCCGCCCGCCGATTGAACCTTGGCACCGCCCAGAGCAAGAACGCCCTCATGAATCCCTACAGCGTACTACCGACGAAAAAAATCCGATGCAATTCCGAGCTAAAAGAACCCAGGCCTGAGAAAGCCACACTCCATGTTTAATGGTCAAGATTTCCGTGCGTTACTTGTGAGTAACAGAGCTACGGGGCGGAAACAAGGACAACAGCAGCAACGAACGGCAGCAAGGATGTAAACGAACGTAGATCCAAGAACAGGTGAACGGGATTTTTTCCGAGGGCGTGTTACACCCACCTTTCCTTCTCCATCACTGGCCTAGAAGCCAGAGGACGAGCGGGTCGAGCGACAACGTCTCGGCTTTGGACCCCAAGCCCAGACGTTCCCGAAGCTCCACCGCCGCCGGTGGTCCTGATCCGCGCCCCGCTGCCCCCCCCTCCCCCCTCCCCTTCCTCCTCTTCTCCTGCTACCCTCCTCACACCGGACCTCTCTGCACTAGACCTATCGCCAGTGGTACCGGGGCCGCCGTCGGCATCTCCGCGAGGGGGACGGCGGTAAGTGGAGGTTCCGGGAGGGCGCGTCGCGGGAGAGCCGCCGGTGGCCGACAATGCCTCGTTCAACGCCGCCGGCGCCGGGGCCCAACAAGCGGAGCGTTCCTATGTAGGCCGCACCATTACATGCGGACACGTCGCGTCAGTGGAAGGAAGGCATCAGTGGGGTTCGGATAAAGCTGCGTTGTTGGTACATTTGTGCTCGGTTTACTGCTGTGAAGAACAGTACTAAGACAAACGGGTAGGGGGTAAGCACGAAATATCGCTGGGCTCCTTTATAAGACCATATTGGGTACGTATATCGATACACAGTGGCTCAGCACGAGCTACGAATAGTGCGCCCCCCATCCTCAGTCGTAGAGACCATGTGGTCCAATATCCAGTCCATGGTGCTGGTCTCGTGGAGCAATCCAACCTCATAGCGTCTCTCGCAGTGTCATCACTGGACGGTGGGTAGTCGTCTGATGTATACAACAAGCTTTTTCTCACAGACGTTTGCTTTATCTTTCTTTGCATTCTGAAGCACGTGCTTAAGTTTTTGTTTATACCTTCTTCGCATTCTGAAGCGCGAGCTTAAGATTATGCTGCACCATGCTGGTACGTGTTTTGCGCCATGCAAGGAGACTCTTTCTGACAACGGAACTTGTGGTCATTGGCTTCGAAGTATCGGTATATTGGTTCCAGATGTTGGGCTAGTGTGTGCGAGTACAATACCACCCCCAACACCACTTTTCAATAATACCGGCTCCACCAGCCACAACAGTAGCGACAAACACAACCACTTTTTGAAAAAAGATTCTACCTTACCTGCGAGAGTTCGGCATCGGGTGGGGCTTGATTGTTTCCATCGTCTTGCTGTGAAGAAGTAGAACCAGCACCACATCCAGTAGACGACTGCTGTGATATCGTTCGCATCGCCAGAGACCTCTCGCTGAAAGAGAAAAACGTAGAAAATGCCACGGGTCAACCAAAAAACAACCGGCTGTATGAATGCATTGGGGTAATTCACCAGGAGGCGCTTGTTGCTGTGGCCTCCACGTCCTCCTATTCTACTCCAAGCAAATGCTATCGTATGGTATTTTTCAAGCTAATTAACAATACCCAAACCCGCTGTCAACGGATTTTCATTAGATCTGTTTTTCTTCACCTGAGCATTGCGCCACACCTTGTGTCAGGGCTCGCGGTACGGTTAGCTCCAACAGCAGTAGCAGCAAAGCCTGTAGCAACAGCTCGAACATCGACAGCAGCAGCGGCGGTGGCAGCAGCGGTAACAGCAGCAGCAGCAGCAGCAGCAGCAGCAGCAGCAGGAGCTGAAGCACGGGGCGTCTTGGCGGTATTGAAACGACGCATTCCCCCAGACGCTGAAGCTGCTGTTCTCCCTGCAAGAGGAGACGGGCGGGGCATGGGGTGCGCGGTCGTAGCGGCCGGGCGCCGGCCCGGTAGTGAAAGGCCGCCGCTGCCGCCGCCTCCACCGCTACTGCGGCCGTTGCCGTACGTTGACGCTTCGGGAGCTCCCTTTGATGCGAGCGATGAAGTCGGGGGTGGTCGCGAAGACGCGCCACCGCCTAGTGAGGCTTGTCCGCCGCTTGCCGGTTTCATGGCGTGTGTGGCGTACCGTTGCTGGAGGTTGTTTGGTGACAGGGGAGAGTGCGACACGTGAACCTGCCAAGCGAACGGACGGATTAAGGAAAAGGGGCGGAAACTGAGGGCGTGCTGAGAGAAGATATAGCCTAAAGCAACACAGAGGCCTCCCCTTCGGGAATTGTGTGACTTGCCTCCCAGGGGAATCGCAAGAGGACGTGTGCCATGACGGTTGCATCGTTGCATCTCAACGGTCGGTAGTGCCGGTTTTACGTACGAACTGTGCTGGATAATATGTTGTTCTCACCGCGGCTTTTCGCGCGAATGCGTGATTGTGTATTTTAGGCTAGCGGCGTCGTTGCAAAGCATGGCGTATCATCATGTAGACTATTTAGTGTGCGCGGGGAACCTACACTGCTACAAATCGCATGTATGTGTACAGCAGTAGTCCACCCCGTACATCACACCGCTGCCACCGGCTGTGCGACTACGGGGACATTTCACTGTGGATAAGGCGATCTTGCAGCACGCGTCTCGAATAATGTAGGCTAGAGGAGACCGTCACTTTTCTCTCTCGAGGGATTCAAGTGCCAAAGCACGCGGCGGGGTTCTGTCCAAAAGTTGAAAAATATCTGTCTCCGCGTGTGATTGTCTTGACCATAGGGAAGAAGTCCTTCCGGAACAAAGCCATCGCAGATACGGTATATGGCTCTATGGGGCAGGCCCTGGCCGTCACGACTCCCACTCACGGAGCAACGCCAACGGTTTGCCGCACACAGATAGACCTCGTCTCTCTGGAAGTCACTCATCACTCTGTCGTGCGGAAATTTGAAAATTTACACAGACTCTACTTGTACATCTAGACAGCACACAGCAGTGTAGTAGGTAATCACGTCAACCAACAGCACCAACAACTTTGGCACCCCGCGATGAAATCTGCAATTGCTGCAGCAGCGAAAGCCCTCTAGCCCGGCATGAAGACTCAGGCCGAGCCAAGGGACGAATTCTCGCTCTAACATCTGTGGTGGTTGCACACGTCAAACACACTTCGGCGCCTGCACCTCTGTCCCAGCAGATCCGGGAAAATACTGCTGTACATATCTCGATACACCAAACATGGACAGACAACGGTCTGGCCACGGGCGGCGCAGTACTTGGAACTCTTATGCATGTAGACCTCCGATCCACGAAATGCAAAGACTTTGCTCACCGGATAGTCAAGGACGTGTGCTCCGGTGTGCAAGGGCCTGCTCTCTCTCCTACAGATGAGATGAAAATTCGGAGATCGTGGTTTTGCGAAGATATGGAGGCCTTTGACTACAAAACGTCACTAAATTCCGGACATCTCCGACATCTCCGAAAACTGCGGCGCGACCAGCGGGTCGGCGAAGCACCGCATGACTGTTTGGCTGCCTGTGGATATCTATTGCTTCGGTTTGTCCACAGCTACCGGATTACTGAGCTGCTGAAATAGGTTATTCGGGTGGAGGGGAGTGCTGGACTGCCTCTCGATCCAGCAGTGTGTACAGCAGGCAGGAGTGCGCGCGCTGAGGGAGTCACACGCCGGGGGATATGTGCAACGTTAGGATTGACGAGATCGCGTATCGCTTAGTGTCAAACCCATGGTTCGACCGAGTGATCGTCTTGACTATCATAGTCAACTGCTACTTCTTGGCTCTGTACGATCCTACCAGGGCCTCGAACGAGCAGGTATGGTTCTCGTATAATACGTGGTTCAAGGGATGTTTGTCGCCACACCAGCACTCTCGATTTTCTGTTCCTCTTGCCTGCGCATGTTCTGCAATAGATAGTTGCATGGTCTGCATGACTTCAAAGTAGACTACAGTATTATACTGTACCTGGTAGATACTTTACAAAGTTTCGTGATCGATTGTGAGTAATTTCCTACACATGTTTTCGAGACAGTTCCTCGAAGTTCCCGCCCTTAACTCAGTGAGAATCCGTACGTTGTTGGTGGTTAGGCGTCTCGCACTCTACTGATGATGGTCACATTGGTACTGCTGTACATTCACATCATCGGGTATCTGGAGCATCTGGCAACCTTCACCCAAACCACTTACTTGCGTTGTCCCAAGCTATGCGCCGTCAATCCAATGTCACGGTTTGACCAGGATGGATATATTATCGTTGGAGACTACATGTTCAGTTCGATATTCATCGCGGAGCTCTTGGCCAAGTGGCTAGCTCTCAGCATCCCCACCTACTTCAAGGACAATTGGAATTGGTGAGTAACTCCATAGACGTACTAGAGTGAAGACCAGACTATTCAGGTGAAAACTTGTCGTATTTACCAATGTGCGTCCGTTCCACCCTTGTAGCACGCACTACTCTTTAATACCAGCAACCGAAAATATTACTGGAAAAACAAAACAGAACATGCTTATCCTGGTTTTCCCTTTGTAGTCAAGAGTCCGCGGCTCAGAGTTTTTACCCATAAGCTGTAACGTTTAGACCATTCCCCTGTTGTCGTAAGCGATGTCGATCACCTCCAGTTCCTTGCGATAATGACCTTGAACTCACCGCCGATGCTTCGAACTTCCCGCTCAGCATTCCTATGGAGTCACATTTAATCTGGAGTCGTACAAAACGTTATAGAAAAACACTAGCACCAAACGGATGTCATACAAACATCTCTGATGTCTGGGTCCATGCCGTAAACTTTCAAGACATTGATAAGACTGGGTTTGTTCAGCCCTATGTCACGATCGGGCAATGCCGCCCTCCTTGCTGCTTCTTTGACTTGAATCTTGCAGGGTGGACTTTGTCGTCGTTCTGGAGAGCGCGGTCAGCCTTGTGCTCAAGGCTTTCAAGTCCACAAGCTCGCTGGACATATCTGCATTGCGAGGCTTGCGAGTCCTCAGGCCACTTCGAGCTATCACGTACATACAGCAGGTATGTGGATGTTTTTGCTGCGTCCCCTTGCTTGACCTCTCTCGGTAGCTGCTTAGAGGCGCGCTGGCTTTCCTCACGATGTGCCTTGATCCCCGAGGGAACAGGGAGATGCCAAACGTCCATCTACGACGCACACGACATTTCATCGCAAAATTTACACTAGACCATGTGCTGGGAGCCAACTATTACAAATATCTGGCTCGAGTTTTAGAGAAGAAAGTTGTCGAAAGCCGACTTCATGTCGTCAAGAACGCATGATATATATGTTTGGTCACCCAATGGCTTGCGCAGCAACCAGTGCCCAAGGTCATTTCGAGACGAAGCCACACAAGGCAGTTACTACTGTACTGTATCTCGATTTTGAGTGCCCCTTAGAGGCATCCATCAACCTACATAGCCCACCCTCACCATGTCTTCCTCCTGGTTGATGCTGTCCTTTCCAATGTGTGATATCGTCGGATTAGGTGAAGCTCTTGTTTGAAACCGTCATCAGCGCCTTCAAGGTGGTCAACACGCTGCTGCTGTGCGTCGGCATTGTGATGCTTTTCTTCGGGAATGTTGGGTGAGCCAATATCTTTACTTGACGGTAGACGATCCGCAACATGTAGTTTCAGATATATGTCTTGGTGTCGCTACTTCGTGCCGCTTCAGCACAGGCAAGACTTCTGAGCCAAACCAGTGGTATTAACGGAAGGAGGCTATTCCTGAGGCTCCTCACGAGATGATGTACGCCTTCTTCGTGGAAACTAGCCCATTGAAAAACGAATCTGGAGACGCTACAATCCTTGCCTCGCACCTTTGCCATTCCAAGTACCTCAACTCTTAACCTGGCTCGGGAGCAGGTACACGTACTGGGCCGAATCCTTCGGCCACACCTGCGAGGACGCTGTCACGTCCGACGTCCTCTCCGACGATGTCGTGTGCGGCAAAGGCTACTCATGCCCAGACGGTTACGTGTGTACAGACTCGGGACATGTCGCTCTGAACGACGGAGTTACCGGATACCACGACATCTGGCACGCGTTGTTACAGGTGGGAATCAGTTGCAGCATGACCACCTTCGCCAAACGCACGGGTCGCATATTATTGTTGCAACTCACCATGGTGTACGGAGGTCACAGCCTACCGCTACCACCGCAAAAAATGATTGTAGCAAGAGGGGAGGGATTATTTAATCCTATCTAAGCCGGTTGTATCGATAAATCACGACGTGCAAGAGCTTTCCTGTGTGGTAGGTCTGACAGTGCTCACCAGAGTGTGGAAACGAATGTCTCGGCGCTACAAGACCCTACGGTTGCGGGTGGTGGTGATCATCAGTCCAACAATCACTGTCTGGAGTCGCATGTCCCGGGCATTCAAGTCCAGAAACGGCCTTCCTTGCCCACGGATCGGGAATAAGGGTACCACCACCTATTCCTCCACCCAAGCAACGCAAACATACATAACCATGGAACTCATTGTAAGGGGAAAGGCAATTCTGCTGTTGTCGAGAAGCCATCATATCATTTCGTGAATATTCGGACCATTTGGCTCCCTCACGTGCTTAACAGACGTTTCAGGTGGTGTCGCTGGACGGCTGGCAGCAGGTGATGTGGCATACGCAGGACTCGGCCGGCGAAGGGACGTGGATATTTTTCGTTGCGCTCCTCGTGCTTGGGAACGTCGTTCTCGTCTCCGTGAGTTGATCGATTTGGTCTCTGTGGGTGTGTTCTTGCCTATCCTACTCGATCTCGCCAGTACGAGAGGTTGGTATGTAGTCTATCTTTCGGTGTGTACCGTGTGTTGTACGATAGTGTTGTGCACGGGACCCCTCGTGTAGCAGCTGAAACCCACCCCTTTTGTACACCGGGCGCGGAATCGAAAGCACCGAAAGTCGAAGCATCTTCTTGACGCCGAAAAAATGTATGTACTCACCAAGTCGTCTTTTTATTGGCGATCGTCTCCATCGACAACAGCTTGTCATCGCCACCAAAAGCACAAATAATAACTACACAAACCCCTACTGTCAACGATGCACATACCGTTTGTAGATGTTTCCGGCAGTCGTTTCATCAAAGCTGGAAGCCGCCATCGCCCGTGAGGAGATCCGCAAGAGGAAGAGGATCCAGGCGGAGAAGGGCAAGGGAGAGGGTTTGGGGGAGAAGAAAGGCCCTCGCGTTAGCGAGTTTGAGATGCTCTTGAACGAGTACGCCAACATAGAGGCCGACGAGATAGCGGTGCGTGCGTGTGGTCTAGCCGCTGTTGTTGCTGCTAACCACTACTCCGAAGGAGTAGTGATTGTAGATGTTGTGTGTACATTTCAAGTCCATCGTTATCATGTCTTTCCCGGTTCGCAACGTAAGGGATACAAGCGTAGCATTTAAGACAAAATGCTCACACGGTCCGACGCCAGGTCTAGACTATGAAAGAGAGACTGCTACAGCGTGTTTGTTCACACGAAGTGGTCAATTCTAGCCTAGAAAACGCTGAAGAGGTGAGCGTCCTGACTCTTGTGGGTAGCGCCCACTTTTTTTGTACAGGGATCAGGAGGTAACGCTGTTGCCGACCGTGTGCCGAAACCTGTTGTGAACGCGAGAGCGCGTTTGATGCCGTACCTTCCCGGCCAAAGCACCGGTGATCATGGGGCAATTTAGCTATCCCCAGTTGCAAAGGAAATACAGCTAGATCGTGGACCTGTTTTCTTACTTCATGCATTTTAACGACTTTAGTGACACGTTTAGCAACCAGTCCCGCAGGTTGGACGCACCCACCAGGCGTTGTAGGGCAATCGCCGGTAGCCTGGTTATCTTCGCGGGAGCGGTACGCACGCACGAATGTGGCTCGCCGAATTACGATGACATGTCAGAGGCGTCACAGTTTTGGTAGCGTCCTTTGATGGTCATAGGCAAGCAAGCCGCCAACACCACGTCGTGTCGCCGGTGCATGGTTGAGCAAACATCGAAGGCCGACCCCATTGAGCCCGAAACGTTTCATGTTGAGTGTTGGCGAAACGTTACAACGCCCATGGGTATCTGTCTCGAGTTGGATGCATCACCGTTGTGTCTACTCCTCGACTACGTTCGATTCGCTTCGTTGGTCCCGTGCCGCATCGTGACAGGCGATTGAGCGCCTGGCGGCCGTGCAACGTGGCGAGGTACGAGAAAAGCCCGAAGAAGAAGCACCACTCCCGCGCTGGACACCGTTTCCCGCAAACTCGACCATGAACCGCCTCCGCAAGGCGATTCTGTTGGACCTGGGGCTTTTCTCGATCATCGTCTACATCGTCATCTTCCTGAATGCCATGGTCCTGTGCCTGGACTCCGCCCACGCTAGTGACCGAAGAGAACGCGTGCTCTCATACGTGAGGGGTGGTAGTCTCCGATAGTTGGAACAGAGAGTATCTAGTCGATACACTCGAAAAAACCTTGCCAGGAACGTGTGATCGTCAACAGAATGACAAGCAAGATACGTTCTAGGACACGCATCAAAAACGAACAAACATGGAAGTGCATGAGGGAAAAACTCTCGTTGAACTAGTCCAACGCAAGGCATACAACAACTGGATTGCCGTCTAGGCGGGGGAACAGGATAAGGTTTTGGGTTTGGGGACACAGTGATGGTCATCTCGCGCAGAGGGCCGAAAGTAGCAGATTCGAACGCCCAAAAAGTTGTGCGGGAATGCGAATGGTGCTGCAGCAACATCAGACAAAGATGGAGATGAGTGCTACACCTCGTGCATTCTATTGCGGTCCTTCTGATTGTAGAAGATCTGCATTTCATGCCGTAAAATATTGTGCTGCCGACTCTATTGGATGCCCTTCGCTTTGTTTTCGTGAAAAGACTCCATCGCGTATCAATAATATTCTGGCTAACACCCTCTGTTGTATGCGCGTGGGTGATATGAAACTATTTATGTCAGCTTCACGAGGCCTTTACCTCTCTTTTCGTCATGGAGATGGCTATCAAGCTGGGGCTCCTGGGACCCATCGGATACTTCAGAGACGGCTTCAACATCTTTGACTTCGCGATCACTTGGCTGGGCTTGATCGAGATTAGTCTTCAGGTTGGTCCGTAACTGCCACGACCCATTACGCTCAGAAGTTTCAGTTGTGTGTGAGTATCGCTCTTTTCGCAGGCAACCGGCACCTTTATACTTGAAAGAGAAGGATTGTACCTTCGAGTTGTTGTTAGTGTCTTTGCATTAAAAACCGTTCCGTTCTCTCTGCCCAGTACCTCCTTCTGTCCGTACTGGTCTAACACTTGACGGGGTCGATTCCGGTGGTCACAGGCTAACTTACCCAAAAAAAGGTATACGAAAATAGAATGGACCCAAAGGGGCCGCAAGCCAATAAAAGTCAACGACAGATAGTCTAGGCCACTCCGCTCGCCTCTACACGCTATGCGAGGTAATCCTAGATTGGAAAAAGAAAAAGAAGAAGAGAGCAGATGGAGAGAAGGGAAAGCGAAGGAGAAAGAGACAGAGAAAGACACACGCCGTAGCGACAGCCAACAAACAAATAGAGAAACACAAGACAACACAAAACAACACAACACAAAACGTGCCACCCCAGCCAGCAAATGCACGTCATCGCTCGCGGGGGGTTGGTGCAATGGTGCAGTGCCGGGGGGGGGGGAGGATGAGTCAAGTAAGGGGTTCAATTCGAGTGCTTGCGGAAATTCGTTCTAATTTGCACAAGCAGCTGCTCGTAGTTCCCGAAGCTCTCCACTGGTACATGCTTCGTATGTAGTAGGATTATCCTTGTTCTCCAGGCACTTCAACCATCGACACGGTGCGTCGTTTCTTGATATTTCTTGATTTGGAATACTCGACACGTTGACTTTCCCCAGCATTCTGGCATTGTGTACCTTTTTCGGAGTAAAACTAGTGGGGACTATTATGCAACAATATTATCCTCTCTAAAGACTGTCACGTGCCTCACCTTACTTGGATATGGATCGCTTCGCCGGTGTCCTCGAAATTACCGTTCATACCATTTGGTCTGGCGAAGGTTGGCGGATTTGTTTCCGGACTACGGGTCATTCGGATTTTCCGCATCGCAAGGGTGTTCCGACTGGCGTCGCTGGGAAAGCTGGGCCGGAAAAAGTTCAACGCCTCCCCCCAGGTTAGCACGAACTGAACATCTTCCTCGTAACTGCCAATCATGTACACAAGTTTCGAATTCTGCACCTCGTACTTAGTAGCCGAGAACGTGCGTTCGCGAGTTCTCATGAGGGAACAACGACTCAACTCTCACAGCGCTGAGAAGTGAAGGCATGTACCGCGACCGTGGATCGGAGGTGTTCAGCTCGAGAGGCATGGTCGTAGGATAATAAGTGGAAAACGCGAGCGACAGTTGACGTGCAGAACGGCGAAAATGTTTTTGAGTAGGGATCCGGCCCGCTCGTAAGAAACACCCATCTTGAGTAAAGCTTGAAGCCTACTCATCTCAACGATCGAGCGCAGGCAATTGCTATGATACCATATCCAGTAGGATTTTATGTGACTTGTGATGCCGGCGACTGGGCACAGCTTCTTTCGCCATGCTTCCTGTTTTTCCACAAATATTGGTACTCCAAGTGCAACACCGTATTGCCTTTCATTTTGAAACGTTTCACGAGATCGGTGTCGTTAATTTGCTTTCGGAAGGTTGAGAAGAGGAGATGTTGCATTGAAATCCGGACTACCATCTGTGATGCGATGATAGTGAGCTAGGAAGACATCGCGTCCCGTCCTCGAACGCCCACGTTCACTGAATGGACGGCCAGGTCGACCTCGGGAGGATGATCTCCATCATCACCACGTCCATACCGTGGATTGTTAACATCTACGTCGTTCAGCTTCTGCTCATGTACACCTTCGCCGTCCTAGGTATGTATGGAACGCCAAAGTTGCGATCCGAAAGGATGGTCATAACCACTCCTGCTTGTTGATAGACGTGCCTATTTGCTGGGATACGAGCCGCTCTCGCCTGGTATTGATGAAACGCTGATGATTGTCGTAGTTTTGGTGCTGCATTTTTTCGCTCCCAGTTCCTGTCGCCGCCGTCCTTGGCAGCACTCAAGCGTTAGTCAGGCGGATATGCTGCACAAACCATGGCCGGTTCAATGGCCGACGTTCGTGGTATGTTAACGTCAACGTGAGAAATGGTGAATTACTCCCCCCCTCAGCCCGCTCCGACAGAGCAGCTTCCCGTTCAAAATCCTCTCAGGCATGCAGTTCTTCGGCGGTGACCTAGAGGACGTCGAATCGGAAGGAGACAACTCCATCCGTTTCAACTACAACAGCTTCGGGAAGGCAACCGTGACGCTGGTGGACCTTCTCACGGGCAACGTTTGGAGCGAGCTCATGTTCGACACAGTCGCCGCAACCGGCCAACAATCGGGGATTTTGTTCTACGTGGCGTGGCTTATCCTGTCGAGGTGGCTGGCGGTCGCTATGGTGGTCACCGTGCTCTTCAATCGCATCGACGTGGATACGGAGGACTACCTTAAGATAGCCGCCAAGCACTCCATGCGCTCCCTGTTTGCTCTCGAGCACGCCTTCATGCAGGTTCGTGTTCGTTCTTCTGGTCGATTTGTTGTTTCTGTCTTTATCGTTTGGTTACTGTCTTGTTGCCTTCACAGACACTTGTCCTTTAGCCTCTCTCCAGAATCTTATAGACGGCAAGAAAAACACGAGTACCGTAGCCCAATGCAAGGTACTACTAGAAACAAGCGAGACAAGAGAAAGTTCGGTCCAACCACTCGCAAAGCAGAAAACGTCCCTGTACACAACAGCAAGCCCAGAGAGACAAAAGTAGCGTAGGGTGAGGAAAAAATCACAGGCAAAGCGTCTCTCAACCTCCCCAGTCGACATCATCTTCCCGGTATGGCCGTGTTTCAATACAGTGCCACAAGAGCCACGCGTTCTTGACCTGGCGAAAGCGGTACGAGGAAGCCACGGGGAACCGGTCTTCCACCAGGGGCCAGATGAAGCTGCTCGAGTACTCCCCTCCCGCAGCGCAGCCGGGCCTGTGGCAAAAAGTGGCCGCCTCAAAGAAATCCCTGCTCATCTTCGGGCCTCAAAACCGATTCCGGGAGTTCTGCCGGTGGCTCACCACCTCTGCAGCCGTCGTGCCCCCCAGCCCCTTGGACATCGAGTCGGAACGAAACGCCTCCGTTGGCGCCGTCCACCACCGGGGTTCCCGCAGCGGTAGGCAGGGAGGGGGGGTAAGACGCGGGACCCAGGGGGACGTGATTGCGGGCAGTGGAAGGCCGAACGCCTCCTCCACCCTTTCGACGAGAGGAAACCAGGGCTGCTGGAGGCGGTTTCTCCGCAGGCGGAAGCCCCGCCGCCTTGCCCGCCTCACCCATCAGACTGCCCAGGTCTCTGCCGTTGTCGTCACCCTGGTCGTCGTGTCCCTCGACGCCGAGCTGTTTTCCGGGCGCCGAACCGAGGGGGTGGGCACGACGCGCCTGCTGCTTGAAACCGCGTCCGTGTGGGCGTTTCTCGCCGATTCCCTGTTGTGCATAGTGGCGCAGGGGCTTGTCCTCCTGCCGGGGGGGTACCTCCGGGACCCGTCCAACGTCCTCGCCTTTGTTCTCACCATTCTGTCTGCCATCTGCTTGTGGGGCTTCGGCGGCACGGTTGGGCGGGGAACGCTGCTGTCGGTGTCGACCCTGAAGGCCCTGCGCGGGCTGAACGTCTTTCGCTTGCTGAGTCTCGCCGAGCTGTCGCGTAGCCTGACGGACTTGTTGAGGTCCCTCCGTTCTTCAGGGAAGGCGCTGTGTCTCGCCGGAGGGGTGGTTGTGTTCTTCTGGCTCCAGTGGGCGATCGTGGGGCTCCAGGTATCTACTCGTGTTGTCCTACGTTTTTTCCTGTTCTTTCTTTTTTCGGTGGGTCTTGTGCCATCTTCCAGTACCACAATAGTTGTTTTCGTTTCTTGTTGAACCTCTGTCGATTGTGTACTTGCACGCTGCTTCACCCCAAACCGTTAGCCGTTGGAGACCAACAGCCATGTATCGCTGCTTGGGTTGATTTGTGTCGTTTGGCTGTCCGAGACAGCAGACAACGGGTAAACATGCGCCTCTGCAGCTTAAAATAAGCTCCGTTTGGATGTGTTGGATGCCAAATCGACACGTTCAGGTGTGGGAGGGCACATTTGGTTATTGTTCTGATCCCGTGACCGCCGAGGCACACGGAGAAGAAGTGTTCTATGTGTACCACACGAGTGAGAACGGCATAGAAGGGCAGCAAGAATGCGAGGCCGAAGGCTACGAATGGGGAAACGCCACCTGGAACTTCGACAACTTCGGAAACGCGCTGCAGTCGGTGCTCATCATCTTCACGTACGATGGCTGGCAAAACATCATGTTCAACGCGATCAACGCCAGGTAGGACAGGTTCTATGCTAGTCTTGTTTATGATCATTACGGTTCTGTGAAAGGGACGCTCAGACTCTTCAGTTTGCTCGCGCACCAAGGAACAGAAACAAGCAGCGTGTCACCGCGATCCAAATTTATGGGCCCTCTCTACCCGCCAAAACCCGCGCAAAAGGTATCAGTCGTTTTAGTGAACAACGCCTTCGTACCCTAAGAATCCGGTATTCTAAGCCAGCAGGTTGACCATGCGCAGGATTGACGTTTGTCCTTTCGTCGCCTCTGTATTTGGTTCTTCTTGTGAAGCTCAGTCACGTTTCTTCACGCATTGCTTGCACCCCCCAACAAAAATAAATCATCAGGGTGGCTGACGAAGGTCTCAACGGCAGTGAGTGGAACAACACCTGGGCCGCGCTGTTCTTCCTGTTCGTGCTCCTGCTCTCCCTGGTGCTCGTGTTGCTTTTTGTCGGCATGGTGTTCTCGATGTACACGTTCATCAACCTTACCAAGCGGAGCGGCCAGCGTCTCTCCAGCCTGAAGCAGGTGGGGCTCTTTGCGGTACATTTGCAGCCGCTGTTTTCATCTCCAGGGGCATAAACCTTTGCCCGTTTCATTGGTGTCTTAGCACGAAAAAAACTGCTTAACAGCTGTTAGTCCTCCCGTAAGGTAAACCACGTCAACTACATGACCAGCGAAATGGACGACGAACGAAGACAGCAAGATTTGCACCCGATTATAATTTCCCGTCCAAACGTCTCAGCGCCGCACCAGATGTTTTGGAAGATGAACGAGACACTCTTATTCCAAAGCTTGGCCATTTTTCTTTAACTCTAACGCTTTCCCAACCCAGGCGTTCTGGACCATGTACGAAGCAAAGCTAGCCAAGGTTCAGCCGGACACGGTCCTTGCTTGCCCCGCCGATGCCCCCGCTGTGCGGCGGCTCCTCTTCAACGCGGCCAGCAAACGTCGCTGGGGCATCGTCCTAGCGTCTCTCATCGGAGCGAACGTTGTCGTACGGTTCCTGATCGGCTCGAACTGGTTGCACTACTTCGACGCGCCCTCCTGGATTCACCTGGAGGAGGCGGTGTTCGCGCCCTTGTTCGTGCTCGAGTGGGTTTGCAGAGCGATTGCTTTCGGAGGCGTTCGGGCTATCACCAGGTCTGAGGGGAAAGGGGCGGACGATGCGCACAAAATCTTGAGATTCCTCTCGCGCGATGTTCTTTACTCGATGCAATGTCTCGAACAACCCTGAAAAAGGCGATCTAGGGTCAAGCTCCTTTGTACCCTTCCCATCATCAGGACGGACGGGCCCGTTCCTTTGGCCACCCGCAAAACGCGAACGAGAGGGTTGCTAAACAAACCTTATTTAGCTCAAGCTGCAAATCGTTGTCGATAACCTGCGTGTACATGGACACGTGTCGAGTGAAGAAGTCGGCTGGTCGCCACGAGCATCACGAAAGAATCAGGCCGGCTCTCACATTCCGTTTCATCTTCTCCCACTGTGCACAACGTTAGCCGAGCTCGAATCCTCGCCCGGACTTTCCCCACCGACTTCACCCTCAGGTCGTATTTCCAGATGGTGGATTTCTTTTCAACGCTCGTGTTGGCGCTGGTTTTTGTTGAAGAGGTGAGCACGTCATCACCTGGAGAGGTGCCTGTAAGTGGATATCGATTTTCTGATGACTGTACGTTGCGTTGCACTGACGCTCTTTGGAAACATCGTCTAACAGCAACCTAACCTGAGCAAGGCACTGCGTTTCCGGGGTCTCCCTGACGTTGGCGGGCGTTGTGGCAGTGAGCTTTCGAGTTGGCACCTCCTTTGACACTCCAGCCCCGCTTCCTCCTAACGCCTAAAACTCTTGCGTTTTGTGCCGCGATGCTAACACTCACGCGCGTGCACTCAGATCCTGTTCCTCTCGAACCTGACACCATCGTCCTCCGCGTCCTTCTGGAGAGCCGTGGAGGCCGCCTCGATGGTTAGGCTCGTCCGCCTCGGCCAAGTCCTCCCGAACGCCCAGGAGTTTCTCCTCGTGATCGCCAAGTCTTCCAGCGTCGTCTTCCCCCTGCTGCTCGTGCTCACCGCCCTCACCTACCTCTGGAGCGTGTTCGGCGTGCTCTTCTTCGGGAACGAAACGTACCTCGCCGGGCTGTTCGGGGATGGGAACCCCTGGGAGACCGTGAACCGGCACCAGGGCTTTTTCAGCGTTGCCCAGGGCATGCAGACCATGATCGGCGTCGCGACAACTCCCGGGTCGAACGGCTGGATCACGCTGATGCAGCGCTACGAGGACGTTACGTCCCCCCAGTGGAGGTGGGCGGTGGTGACGTTCTTCGGAAGCTACGCGCTCCTGACGAGGTTCTTGCTGGTGCATTTCTTCATGATCACGCTCCTGTTCAAGTACAAGACTCACTCTTACGACAAGGTAGGGGGAAAAGGGAAACGCGGGGGCGGGCCGCATTTTTCCTGGTGAAGATTTTCGTGCAATGGTTGGTTCGTTGTGCCGCTGACCCCGGGCTTTCGTTGGCATGCTATATTAGGGCAAGGGTGAGAATATCCCCCAAGTGTGTGGTTGAGAACTCTTAGAGAATTTCTGTTTTTTGTTCTGCCCCGCTGTTCTCGTGATTGCGGGGCTGCCCGTATTTCCTGCTTCGAGTCCCCCCGTTGGATCCACCAAGCGGATCGTCGAAGTATTATCTCTCCGCTTGTGCGGATTCAACAGCACGTTTTTGATGGAGACCGAATCGATTTTTTGCCGTCTTTCAGGCCGGCGTTGCAATCGAGCAAGTCAACCAGTTTAAGCAAGCGTGGATGGCCCACGCCTACCGTTACACCAAGGAATACACATCCATTTACGCCGGTCAGCTCGTGGACCTGCTCAGAGAGCTTCCCCCCCCTCTCGGAATCGGCAAGGAGGGGTCCTACTACGACTGCCAAATTCTGGCCAAGAAGGTGTGATAGCCCGTGTGCGTGCGTGTCCGGGGCCACAAACATATCGCGTAAATACCAGTTGGCGACAGTTTTGAAGCTTAGCGTTTTTTGCACGTTCTAGCCGGGTTTCTCGGATGGGTCGATCGTTACCAAGTAAAGAGACAGGAAGGGATACACAACTCTCAAGCATTCGGGGGACGATCTTCCGTGTTTTATCTAACGGGGAAGGCTATCGACCTCGAAACTCGCAGAAGGAGAGTCCTGATGTCTCATCCCCCTACCTCGCCGTTTCTGGCATTGTCGAGTCGGCCCGTCTGCAGTTGGCAATGCTCTTTGGAAACCCTACATTGTGAACCGCCCTCACTTAGCCCGCTTCAGATTTCGGGATAGATGGAAGCGTTTCCCGTCATGCTTAGAATAATGTTATTGTCCTCTCGCGCATGCGTCGGTATCTGGGCGGCATCAAAGTTAATATCTTCTGGTGCTTGGGGTCAGCTTCCGTGGTTTTGTCGTTACCCTCGTCGATCAGGTGCTGATCGCCTTAGGAATAGACGTCGTCGCGCATGTCCCGGCTGAAGATCTGACGGGCGTGCTTTCGTTGTACGGGAGCACCGTCGAACATCTCGGCGGCAAGCCACTTCCGGTGCAGAGAAACGGTTTTGGGAGTGGTCCCGGATTCATCAGGCTTAACTTCTCTAAGGTATGTGAAAGTTTGTGACATGTGAGATGTTCCCTCGTACATAAATTTCAAATTGTTTGTAACTTGAAATTTCGAACTCCTGACGATTGTCCGCTATTATTGTATCGACCGATCGTGCCCGACGACGATTGAAAACCACGTACCGGTCTCGATGGACCTCTTGTCCACGAACGAAGAGCAGACCACCAAGAGCAAACAATTGAGTTTTGGTCTGTCTTACTGCCCGTGAGGAGCGTTTCAAAGGCTCCTCCCGCCCATTTGTTTTCAGCATATTTCCCTGCTCGTTGTAGAGCCGATCGTTTCTTCGGCCACGGCGCGGGATGCCACACACACACACATACACACACACAGGTGCTGGTTGCCGTCCACCGCATCGTTCTCTTCGACCTCACGCTGGAGGACGAGCGGCAGGTCAACGAAAGGAGGAACAACGCCATGCGCAACCTGTGCGTGCTCAAACTTGGGGTTCACCGTTTCCTCGCCAATCAAGCCGAAAGGTGACCAAAGAGAACCCCTGCGCTGAACTCTTGCGCGAACATGCAACAACAGCGAAGTCCATAAGTCAGAACACGCCCTACTGGTTTATCACAAAAGCCCGGGGTCCACTACGTAGAGCCCCCTCTACCTTTTAGACCCTACTCGCTATGGTATCCGCTAGATTTAAGCCATAGAAATACAAGTTGGTTACCGAACAACAGTATAAACTCATCATCGCAAATCTATCACGGACTCTATTCTCTGGGAGATATGGATTTGTTGTGTTTTTGTAAGAAAAAAAACATTTTGCGCATCGCACCCTACCCGGCTCCCGCTGCTGGGGACGAACTCACGACATCCCAGGACAGTAGCAACGACCCGTGCACAGCAGGAGGGCGTGGCCCTGCGGGAGTGTTCTGTTCTCAGGACGCAGCTCCCGGCCACCTTCAGGGCTAGGATCTCCATGGCCCTCACGGCCGAGTTCTTGCGGTGGAAAGACCACGTGGATGTGAGCACTAGCCTTTCTTGTTTGGTATTGAACTTCAGAGGTGTTTTTCGCAAGTAGGAAGAATATAATCATCTACGTCAGTACGCGTTGTTCCGTGAATCTATTGGATTGTGTGTGCATCGGCATTGTCGATATAGGGTCCGCGGTCGATTGACGATGAACCGTCGCGAACCCTTTCGCTCAAAAAACCAAAAGCGCGCTGTTGGTGCATGGACGCCTCTTTCGTTGACATGCATGTATGTGCAGTTGTGGGGATGCGATGGCGAGGTGGATCTGCTCGGGAGATGTCTGCTCGAGGCAGCTTCGCACGAGATCAACGCGACGGCAGCTGTAGAACAGGTGCTTGAATTCCCCGACCCCGCGCGCGGGGCGTGTGCATCGGGTGTCCCCATGCACAGTGTGGGAGGGAGACCTCTAACCAGCGAAATCCGAGGACCCCTTGATTTGTAAATCCTCGAGCAAGTGGTTCTCTATCGGGCTTTTGGGACTTTGAACAAAAACTGTTTGGTTCTGCTCTTAACTTGTGAGATAATGCGATATTGGAAGCTTTTCTGGTTCGACCTAGCTAGTTTTCGCGGGTGAGCACATCAACGTTCCTCATCTCACCTCGTGGTGATCGCAAAAGAGGAAACAACGAACGGTGGACCTCCGATTTATTCGTCGGGAGCACAAGCTGTTAACCAAATCTGTAGCCAACAACAAGCCCGGAAGTCTACAAGGATGTGCAGTCTAGGCCGGTGGACCAAAGGTTGGCTCTAGGCCGGTGAGCCACAGGTTGGCTCGGAAAACCGTGCCGATCCCCGCTAGGTGTCGGGCGGTTGCGGGGTGAGTCTCCTATACCGCCTTATCCACGCTAAAGGGTGTAACTGGGGCACGTTTTGAATAATATATCTGAATTCCCCAGATGCCAACTCTTTAGCCGAACAAAGCACGAGATCAAAAGGCAAGTTACGATAATCCCAGCCAAACGTTTTTTGGGTTCGATGGCGTGCTACATCTCGCTCGGCTCAGATCTAAACGTACCCCCCCCCATTCCCACCCCGGTCTTCCCGGTGAAATATTGATCTGGTGATGGTATAGTTGACCACCAGGCTGTTCGAGTCCCACGTGGGAGACCGGAAGCTGGTGACCCGGCTGGCCGAGATCAGGCAGCACCTCCTTACGCTCAAGGGGCTCCGTGTGAAGCTCAACGCCGCCAGGGGAGACTACCTGCAAACCTCTTGGGACGGAGGCAGTCTCCGCGTGCGGCAGGTGTGATGCGAAACGAAACCTTCTCTCGCTTGTTCCAAGTTTCATTTATAATTGTTGTTCTCTGCTAAGTCTGGAAGGTACCCAGGGGGAGACACCGGTTGCTTCCCTATCTCATCCAGAATCCAAGTCTCCCGTCCATGTCCATGTCAACTGGCCGGGCCTACAGAATGCCGTCCTGTACCGAGAACCTCAATGACACTGTACCATTGACATCCACCAACATCGGAAAAGTTCCCCACAACCCGGCACAGTGCTCCACACCAGACGCAGCTGGGGAGAGCCTTAGGTGTCATGAGGTGCACAGGGCCATGCGTGGAGACAGGAACGTGTTGACACGGCTACTCTGTCTTCTTTCTCACATCCTGTTCAGAGTCCTTGTTTCGGTAGTTCCTTCGTCAATCGAGCGAGCGGTATTGGGATGAAACTGCCATCGTGCCGTAGTCACGGATGTCGATCCGGAGGCTATACCAAGGACTTTGTTGTCCACCGCCGAAGGTTGCTACATAGAGCCTCTTCCAAGAAAACGACCCTCCAAAATGTCCCCTTTTACACTTGTAAGCGACATCCAAACGCCGAGGAATAGCCCTGAAACCGTTTCTTTTTTTTTCATACGTGCCTACAGCAGATCCACGGCTGGAAGAGCTGTGCTGTAGTCAACAGGAAGACTGGATGAGAAAAAATCTATCTTTGTCCTTGCTGAGCCTTTTAAATCGAGATTTTTCCCCTTTATTCTTTATTCTTTGGTGGCAAGACGATTGACGACGAGGAGCGAAACTCAGGAATAACAGGGATATGTGCCAGCGTGGACGGCGTTTGGGTGTTCTGCACCACGGACGACGGGCTGCTCAAGGTTTTCAAACGAGGCAAACCTCCCCGCAGGAAGGGAAAGAAGAGGACCAATCAACAAGGTGCCGGGTGTATTATTCGCGTTTTTGGACTGTTTTATTTCGGTGATATCGGCGTCGTTATGAGTGTTGAGCGTGCTTTGTCCCTTTTTATCCTGGGACAAGCCTAATCTTTCCGTACAAGTTTGACGCATATAGTCAAATAGTTTGCTAGACCAACTTGACAACGTTCAAAAGGAAAAACAAGAAAACGACACGTTCGTGCTGTATACATGGTACTTACCCTCGAAGAACTACCTTGGTAGATATTATGTTGTTCGCCTTAAAGCCAATAGCATTTACTCCACCAACATTCCTTCCTACACGTCCTTCCTCTCCTCTTGCTTAGGAGCGTACGCCCTGGTGCAGAACATGGGGGTCAACGGAGACATACCCAAGGGTAGCAACGGCGGTAAAGGCAGCAGCGGCAGCAAGAGAACTACGAGGGGGTTGTGCGTTGCGTGTTCCCCGGACGGTTTCATCGTTATGGCCGGGTGTTCCGACTCAGGAGTCAGAACCTTTTGCCAAGACACTGCGGGGTTTCGGCGAGCTGTGCACGTGAGTGAATCCCTGCCCGCACCCCTCCGCAGCAGATATGTGGTTGTGATATATTATCTCTGTCATGGTCGCGGGTTCTCATGTTCCGTTGTTGCCCCTGGGTTCCATAGGTGCTCTCAGCTTGCAGTACCGCCGTAAGGTCGTTTCGATGTTTAGTAGCAACTAGGACTTACCGTCAAAAACGAACGCTAGAATATGTGGTAGTGAAACCTTTGTTTTCCACCAACAATGTAATCTTTGTTTTCCGCCAACAGAAACAAACCGTGTAGATGAGCTTGAATAAACTCGCACCACTTTAACAATCACGAGTGAGCAGGCTGCAACAGACGTTTTTCTGTAGACATTCCACCTGGTACCAAACTCGTGCTTACCTCACGTTAGATTCTCTCGGTGGGTGTCAACCCAGGAACAAAACATGGGAACAGCGTTGTAGAACAACCAGACCCCAAATGTTCATACTGCTGAAACTCACCACTCCGGAAAACCATCGGGAGCAATTCGTTGCTTATGAGTCGGCCGGCCTGTTGCCGTTTTCGGTGGGCGGAATAGAAGCAATAACACGCCTGCATCCTAAGAGAAGCAATGCTTACCGGGCGCGCGATCCAGCTAGCCTGAGCCGTGGTCGAGGTATTTCCTTCCGCCCCTGCTCCTGCCTTGTGTGCTCGCCCTGTTGAGAACTTCAGCTTCTCTCTTTTTCTCCACAATTTTTCGAGTCTCCCTCCGTGTTGCCTCATCTTTCTTCTCAAAAGTGGGAGGGTTAATTTCTTCTCCGGCGCGTTCGTCCTGTCCACGTTATCTGTTCCACTACTGTACCACCCCTTTCCGTCATGGCATCAGGAGATGAAGGCGGCAGGTGTCCGGGGGAGAAAACCGCCCATCTTATACCGCCCAACCTCAGTTGGCAAAGGGCACAAGGCAGCCGTGGTAAGTACGAGAGCGGGCCCTTGAATCCCATTATGAAAGTGTGCGGGACGTATGCAAGGCCTCGCCTTAGCCAGTTTATCCTGGAAGATCAGTCTCAGCGCGCGAACCCTCCAAGAGGAATGCGATCGAGCGAAAAAAGGATTACATCGAGCTATGTTCCCGCCAAAGAAATTAATCTTCCCTGCTTTGATTCGGGTAGAACTAAGCCAGAGACCGAGATGTGGACTCGGAAAACGTTTGCAAAGTTGCCCCTGCCTTACCACACTCTAGATTCCGCCGGTCCATGCCGGCCCCATCCGAAAGATGTAGAGATGCACCTGTCCCGGAATCAACACCGGCATATGTCGCGTGAGTGGACAGCGCAGCCGCACGACCAAAATAAGCGCTTCATGGCCGGGCCCGTCCGACAAGAAAACCCAATAAACAGAGGTACTGTTGTGCCATCGGAACAGTGCCCCGTCTCGATGAGGCAAGCAAAAGCGAGAACGCCCCCCTTTCGTATTACCCCCAAAGAGGTGCGTAACTTGGCTAGACCCCGGCTACTTCTACACCGGCGGGGAGGACGGCACGGTGTGCATGTGGAACAAGAGCGCTGCTAACCGACCAGCGCAGTTCGTGGACGTATGTCGTTCGAATTTTTCGTGCGGCCCCGTGCGGTGCCTGTCAGTATGGAGGACAACGTACAGTACCGACCTCTTGGCGGCTTGCTTTGAAGTCGACGATGGCCAGGTATGTTGTTGTGGTCGTTGTGGTCGTTGTGGTCGTTGTGGTCGTTGTTGTTGTTGTTGTTATTGTTCGCTTTAGGGGCGATGGTGTTTCTCACATGGAACCCTTCAAAAGCGGCGATCGCACGACAAGGGTCATCCTACAAGCGATTCACCAACAGCGATCCGGGCACCACCAGAGCCTCGAGTCCATGTGTACGTAGCAAGGAGGGTTTGAAGAGGGACAAAAGGTTGTGTAGTTTATATCCCAAGGCGTTGCGCATGAGGCCCCAAATCTGTTCTGTGGCGTGGTGGCTCGTAGACGAGGAAACCCTTCCTAAATCACGTACAGTACACGCGACTTGGCTGGTCTGCAACAGTAAAAAAAAACAAACGCCTACATACGAAGCTCCCGAGAAGCGACTCCGTGGATGGAAATAGCATCTGCTTCGAAATCTGTTCTTCTGTCCTTACCGGGCATCACACCAACAATCCGAACGGCGAGAGAAAAGGTTAAGGTGTCGTCCCCAAAAATACAAAAGGTGCAAGGCTGGGTTGATGAGGCCAGATTGGGGGGGTCTGCGAAGAGTAATGTGATGAGAAACACTGACAGAGCCCTTCGATACCCCTTCAACACATACCTTGAACTAGTAGAGACAGGCGGTGAAATCAGGAGGGAAGCAATTAATCAAAGCTATCGCCGCAAATGCGCAAGCGAGCCGGCTGAGGACTGATGGGGGTTGAAAGCCGGGTAAAGGTCGTCGCTACCGAGCATCCATGATAGCACGAAGCCTCGTCGTATCCAAACAAGAACAGGACGAATCGACAAAGTGTTAATTTTGGGAGAGATCTCCCAAAAGCACTGCCGGGCCACCCCCCTGCGAAACCGGCTCATAATTTTTTGTACAGTTTGATGAGCACAATGATTTAAGAATGCTCTTGAATACACTCGGCTTCGCTTTTGGTACATCTCTCGATCAACCTTGCACGACTCTCCCCCAGGTAAGGTGAATGCTTTACATCCCACCGTTCCTCCGCCTTCCATGAATGCCTTCGCAGGAAGTGGACCCCCCGGTGTGTTTGCTGGCTGGAGACGGTGACGGATACCTGTCGGTGCTACCCGCCAGAACAGATAGCTCCTTCTTTGCGATCGACATTTGGAAGACTTCATTGAGACACCAGGTAGTGCATGAAAAGCTAGTCCTTGGATGTACGAAAAGCGCACTGAGCCTTTCTGAAATGCCGAGTTTGGATGTACGACATCCTTTCGAACTCAGTGCCATGTTACTCCGTGGCCCATTCTTCCCAGGAATTTACATGAAAAATCGCCATTTCACTACATAGTACAATGGGGCAAGTGTTTGTGAGCGTTGTACGAGCGCTGTTTTAGCTATGTGTGAGCGCTACATGATAACGCACAAGTTCCGTAGGTATTGTACTGTCGGTATTGAAGTAGTAGATGGGGAATCACGATCCCGGCCCAGTCTTCGTACTCTCGAGTGAACTCTGAGCGGGCGTGGTCTAAAGGGATAAATCAACAGGTAACCAGGAAGTGTGAGTACCTCAAGGAGCAGCCGACCTGTTCCCTTCCCACTGTACTGCTTTGTCTTCCCCTACAGTAGCAATTTCAAAAAACGCTCCATACGCACTTGCATCACGTCCCTCGGAATACCTCTGCCTCAACAGCCTACGTTCACATGTGTCGTTGCCCGGTCATCTTTTCAGGTCGACGCAAGCGGAGGAGCCGTGACGGCTGTCGAGGTGGCGTGGGGAAGGGTGTATACCGCTTCCGGTCTAGCCGGAGTGATCAAGGCTTGGACTCCGCTTTGGGATGACGCGACCAAGGAAAAGGTACACTTACATGTTTTGTCGCTCGAGGCATGAACGGACGGAGCGGTAGGTCTAGGGTTAGAGCCATTCGACAAGGGGTGCTGTATAGAGCTAAGAAGTTGTCTCAGTGTGAAGATTACCACAAAGGTGTCCGGGTGTTGGAGGGACGGAGTTGAGTGCTGTTTACCGCGTGGGGTGTAGCCCGCATCTCGTACGGTGCACCGGTGTTCACGCAAAGGTCCACAAACGGTATCGCGACTGAGGATAGTAATGGCGCCAATCCCACCGAATGATGCGTCCGAAGGCGATTTGCAAATGAAGATCCTGCCATTCCAAAACGTGTCTTTGCCTTCGCCCTGCTCTCCCCGGCACCGATCCGTGGACTTGTGGGGATCCAACAGCTGCTGGGTTTCTCGCCGGTGGGTCAGTATGCCGTGCACTCCGGAGAGGTGTCCTCCATCGTCTACGCCAAGGTAAGCTGAAACGAAACTGTCGGCCAGGGCCATATACATGCGCAACGTCCAAGAGAGCGCTCCATTGAGTCGTTGTTTCCCCTCGGTGCTTCAGCAGTTGTTTACACCGACGACGTTGCCTCTCAGCAGGCATTTCCAAACACGCCACGAAAGTAGGTAGACGCGGAAAATTTTAAACTGTTCCGGTGGTGTGGAAGGTGGAGGAAGTAGGGACAAGGCCCGGAATAGCGTTCGGCTCCCTTCGCCCCTCCCCCCCTCCCCTCCTCGCACCCCATCGACGGTGTCTGCCCTGCCATTATACGGAAATTGTCCCACCTTTACACGCGGCTGCTTATACAATGCCGAAGCTTGCAAGCGACGAGGCTTGAACCTACTGAGGGCGCCGATCTCCTACCCTCAAGAAAACAAAGGGATGCTGCCGAGCGGACACACTGACCCATGCCCTGTCTCCAATCACGAGAGAGCACAACATAGAACTTCGATAGATGATTGCCGACATACTGTCTTGACGTCGCCCTTTATGTCTTCCTCCAATGCTCTTGGGGGGAAATGTGCTTTTCACCGTTATCCCGCAACACAGGGTTTGATGTTTTCAGCCGGGGCCGACATGTCCATCATCACGTGGTACCCTCCCCGCGAAACGGGCACCTCTGGACGAGCCTCGGCATCGCCCCCGTCCCCGCACGACGAGGAGCAAACACGCCTACGGCGTCATAACTCCGGGAGCACCGAAGAGCCATCTCCGGCCCTTCTGGCGCCTCCTAGCCCTGCCCCTGCGCTGGCATCAAACGAAGGCGGTATCCGGACCGGGGTGAAGCACGAGAACGACCCGGGAGTAGTGGTGCATGTGGCAGAGGTTATCGGCATCGCAGTGGTTCCGGGAGCTCTGGTTTCGGCGGATGCGGCGGGGAGGCTGCTCGAGCGGGGACCTAGCAGACATATCGGTGAGCCAGCCCCTCGCGTGTGGCACTTGTAAGTGCTATCCGGAGGACAGATATCGTCAAACCGAAGCTGATTGGATCAAACCGGGAGAACCCGTCACACAAGAAAGCGGGGTCGCCGACAACAGCCAGCCGTGGTTGTGGGTGTGTTCATCTCGTGACTGCCGAGAGAGATTTGTGGATGTTGCCATCAACGCTTCTGATGTTTGTTGAAATAGTCAACGCGGAAGAGCAAAAAGGCACAATAATACGTTGGCGGAAGGATTACCACCACACGACAATGTCGATATCGAGAAGAATGTCGTCCCTCCGTGCTTGGTCTCCTCAGAACGCCACTGCAGGCAGATTCTACCGAGCGATGAGGCTATTCAAAGTCTGCGGCCGATTGCCCTGGAGGTGCTCCGAACAAGGGCGCACGCGAGGCGTACGACCCCCGCGCACAGGGGAGGCGCCGCAGCTTGTACAGTAGCGGCTACGGCAGCCGGTACTGATACCGCCGTTGTGGCACAGGTAGGCACGGGTAGTTTGAAGTGCTCAAGTGGGTGAGTCTTAAGCCGGAAGGCGCCGGCGCCAATAGAAACGCTGTCGACTAAGTTCGTGAACATTGATGTAGTTGCTGAAATTGCGCGCGGAGCAACTGCGTAGGGGGGCGATATTCCCCCCCCTAACAATGAGTACCCGCCCTGTAGCAGGCTGTCCAGGACCACCTCCGCGCGGTACGGTTCCTTCTGAGGGCAAAAGCGAAGCGCCGCGCCAAGGAGGAGATTCGCGTTGAGAAACAGAAGGCGGCCGACCTCCAGACCGCGGCGATATTCGCGTCGAGACTGGGTCAACAAGCGGGGCGGCCTATGCTCGGGGCCGGGAGGGCGCCGAGGGACTCGGCGTCTAGTGATAGGAGTTCTGCGTCCGACACGTGAGAGGATGTTGTTAGGTCATGGAGTGTTGGCGGTGTTACACACACTTGGGGCGGGTGAGGGAGCGGAGAGTCATTTCGTCTACGTCTACGTAAACCGTTTTGGTGTGAAACGTAGATTTCTTGCCGTTTCATATGCCGAGACAAATAAATAACACATTCATTGACCGTCGGAGAAGATGTAGAAACTCAATTCATGGAGAGTTGACTGACAAGTTCCACAACAGCGTATGCGATCATCATCTTCCCCTGGATGGGTTACAAACGTACGAAGCGGACGGGGTTAATTTGGTTTGCGGTTGTCACCATGGAAAACCTTCACCCTCGTCGTTCTTCAACCGTTGTGTAATGCGCCACCCGTGCCTCCGACGACAGATTCGTAAGAGCACGACGGTGCTCAATATTGAGCAGCGTCTCCATGCGGCCCGTCGCAGGCCAAGACGGGGAAGGTATTTCGCAGGTGGGCGAAGCAAAACCGGGACTATGAATGTCTCGTGCATGTTTCTAGTTAACTAATCTTATGAGGGGTACTTTCACATGCATGTATTCTCAAATAGCGTAAATACGTGGGATGTTTTGGCCAGTTGAAGGAGCGAAGGTCGGAAGAACGTTGAGCGTGGTTCACGACGGCTTGGGGTCAGCGGCTAGGCTGCCATGCAGTGATTGTGCATACTGCCTATCGAGAGGCAACAAAAATATGTTAGCCCTTGCCTTCGTGCGCGCCGAACGTATGGTGCTCACATTTGGTTGGCCCGTGCTCTCGAACATTGACAAGCAGGAGGCGGCCGATGTGAGCAAGCTTGCAGACATGGACCAGAAGCCAGCTTTCCTAGAAACGGCAGACCTCGAACGGCTGGTGAAGAATCCCGATGTGAGCAATCGCGGCACACCGCTACCATGACTCCACAAGCGTTGTCGGCAGATCATGCACTGATAACCTATTTTCCTACGTTTGGATTGTAACTCTAGAGTTTAGGGTATGGTTCGCTTCCTTCCGCTCGCATTGTGCGGAAACCAGCTCCCGGTTTAGGACGGTACACATCCTGAACCGAAGCGAGAACCGAAGCGTTGTGGGAAAATGAATTATTGAAAGCAAGAGGAATGTAGCGGTAGCATACCCACGCAGTCAAAAGGGACAGCACACCGCCCGAAATCCACTTGGTCTATTGTCTCTCCCGTTGTTCAGGACGGAGACACCCTTTCGTTCGCATGTTGCTTCCCGCAGGTCTACCTGGCCGAACTCATGAGACACTTTTTCCCAGGCAGAGACTTAGCTCCATCCCGCTTCCCCGGATCGCGAGGGGCAGCAGCCGATACGAGGACTGCCCCAGAACGGATCGCCCGCAGCATAGCCGGCGGAAGTGGAAAACGCCCGTCCGCGTCGGACAGCGTCAAGGTTAAGGGTAAGGGCGACAAAAAGAAACGTTTTCCACCCGCGGCGACGAACTTTTCTTCGACGATCGATGCCGCAAGGAGGGCGGCCATGCGAATGCACGCCCGGTCACATCGAAGCGAAGCCTCTCGATCTAGCTCAGATGGCGAAGGGAGCGGCGAAGGAGAAGACGTTGAAACAGGAGATAAAGAAGGCCACGATGACCTACACATCGGCAACATGGAAGGATCGTTGGTAAGAATGGAGACTGCTCTTGAGGGACGCAGCTTGGGGGCGCTCCTGCTACGCGCTACTAGAGATAACAGGGAAGACATTGACACGAAACATGCCACCCAAGAACCGGCGGTCGCCGCAGGGAAAGGGGAAGAGGGGAAGGAGGAGGAGGGCACACAGGAGGAGAAACCCAGACCGCACGCCCTTGAACCTGATGTCAATAACGTCAAGCAAGGGTCAGAGTCATCGGCGTCTCTAAACTCGAACGAAGACCGGAGTGGTACATCTACAAGGGCCGGTACCGCTGACCACAAGCCCGAGGAGAGAACACACCAATGGGGAGGGGCTGGTTCTGCCATCGACCAAAGCAGCGCCGGCCAAGACGCAGACACCTCATTCGTTGGGGACAACTATAGCACGGCCCAGATGCGACGAAAGGGCTGCGTAACCGTCTTCGTGCCGCATTCGCCCAGCCCCGGAGTGTGGGCCGCCAGCGTAGAGTACGACGGTGAACGCGACGTGGCGTGGGTCTTAGCCGAGGCTCTTCGGATGTACGCAACCGAACACAGTCCAGTGGCGCGGCACGCGGGGTTAGCACGCAGGCCTCGGCTTGTCGAGCGCTCTCCCACCCGATGGGGGCTGTTTCAAGGGAACAGCAAGGAGTCATGGGAACAGGGACCGGTTTTGTCCGCGGCGGCCCCCGTGCTCTCTGTGTTACGACCAGGGGAGGAGTTGGTAGTACTAGTAGAAGGGTTCGATCCTGCGGCCGCGTTTGCTAGACGACCATCGGTAGTGGCCCTGCCGCACGTTCGAAACGATGCAGCGCCAGGCGCCTCGACAAGGATCAAGGGTGACCGCGACGGATCACTTTCGTTGCCAACCCTACCTGTGGACGATGCTGCATCTATGCGCGAAGATGCCCTTTCTGATGGGTCGAGGGCACCCAGCGATGGCCCAAGGAGGTTCGCGGGTATCAGCGAGCCAGAGGCTGCCGATGCCTGCACCCGTGTGTCAGCGACACTCACCCGCGGTGGTGGTGATAGCCGTGGTGGCGCCGGCGACTCTCTCTCCGCCACGGGAGGCGACCAGGTGCCGGGAGCAGCTACACTTGTCGCGAACGGTCCTGCAATGTTCGAAGATATCAAAACCGGCGGGTACTACCGCGGTCGGAAGTCCCAAGAGCTCGGCGACGAAGACGCTAACGTGTATAGTAGTGACGATTCGCTCACGGACGAGGAAGACGAAGAGACACGTGACGACGACGATGACGGCGACGACGAGGGCTACTATCACTACCAAAACCCCTACTACGCGGCGGGTGATGCCGCACGTCGACCCATTGGGGGAAATGCCTCGTTGGGGCGAAACAGCCCTGCACAAAGCAGGCTAGTAACAGACGCCTCTGTCACGACTAGAGGAATAACGGAGAGGTGTGAAAACGACAATAGTGGGGGCGGAGGGTCACGATCACGGGGGCTGGGCAGCGTGGCTACTGGTGGAGAGCGCCGCGATGAGCGGCAGGCGGGAGATGGGTTTCCGCAGGATAGATCTCCGCCTCGTTCCTTGGTGGCACGCATGTACGCAGCTTGGGGGGAAGACAACCGGTGACACCTCTTTCTTTGGCCGGGAGAAGGCAGCCGTGCTGTCCAACAATACCCGAGTTTGGTTTACGGGATTTTCAAGAATGCTCGTGTCGAGCACCCCCGCGAATGGTGTGTTCTTGGTCGCAGAGGACACCAAACGAAGTGGGTATAGTCTACGCTTCTAACTACATTGACATTTTCCTAGCCTGACGTGTTCAACGTGTTCGAACCCAAATTCCCGAGGTCCTGGGTAACCAACGGCCCCGATTGGCAGCACTTGGCGTACTCACGTATATCGTTCACGAGACCAGCTTCATAATAGGCCGCGGATGTAACAACCAGCCCCTCCTTACTCCGGACCAGAGATCAAAGGGTACATTACCACATCGGGTACTCTCGGCATATTTCTCGCCCGTGCCGCGGTGTGAATCGCAGGCAAGACGCGGAAACAGGAGAATGGGCAACTGCGTCGTCGTCGTGGGTACACAACGGCTGGCGCCTCAATTGCACAAATGGGCTCCCTCAACGTGGAGCGCGAACCTGAGGGGTCCCCTCTAACTCGCGCGCGCCCGCATGCTCCAAACCCTCCGAAAATGACCCAAGTCCCCAAATTAGAGACCCCTCCCCAATGGGACATTGAATCGACAAATGGTCCCCCATGGAGTCAACGGCCACCGCGTGGAGGAGGCCACGAAGTGCCAAACGTGCGCATCGGTACACATCGGGCGGCAATGCTCTTCGCTACTCGCGATAAAACCAAGAATATTTAGTACACCTGGTTGAAGTATCCAATACGAGGCCAAGAGATCGGAGGGCTGACCACCGCAAATCAAGTCAAGCCCGGGAGTGGCCACCCCCGAAAACCAGCAAGCGACGACGGTTTCGCCCTACATAGATATTCAAAGTATGCAAATAAAAACGAGCACATTCTGAAGATCCAGCCTATCTTGGCGCCGTTCAGCACTATCTATATACATGAAACACGCGTAGTATGTAGGTTGTTCGCCCCCCTCTACATTGGTCTGCACGAGGGTGACAAGGTCAGCCGACATCTATCTATCAGTGCGGCCTCAAAATCCCTTGAACCCCCCCCGGCGTATCGCTCCGTTCCGGCGTTGTAGGGATGCGAGGTCAATGGTCTAACGACTACAGCATGCGTTTACATGAGTACACCCCCCAGGATATGTCGCCGGCAACTACACGGTACAATCGTCGCAGGAAGGAACATCATTGGCCAACTTATAAAGTGTCCCAAGAACTATTCGAAAAAACGCAGTCGTGTCCACACAAGGCACCCTGACACAACCTGAACCTAAAACAAATGCCCCCCGTTTGTGACCTCCCGGTATATAACCAAACAGATCAATATCGACAGAAGCGCTATCGTCAAGTACAAGCAGATCTTCTGCCTCAAAGCCTTCTGTTCCATCTCCTTCAGGTGCAAACGCGCCTCATCCGTCATGCCTCGCATGTCCCCCAACTGAGGCGAAAACACAACAGAGGAAACGAGCGGAATAAACTCGCGGGAAAAAAAAACACTTTCCTTGCGCACGCAATCGCACCTCTCGGGGGTGAATTAAACGCAACAAGTCTACGTTCCCATCCATGTCTGGATCCGGCGAAGCAGAACGTGCCCCGCCGGTAAAATAATGTAGCACCCACACGTGTGATAAGAGCGTGTGGTTTGGACACGACAGTAAATATGGTAAAAAACACTGTGCCAGGATGTACAAGTCGGTGTTTGTACAATCCGCATTTACAAGGAAATTGGATGGAAACCATTCGGAAACGCAAACAGTTAACCCCCCCCCTTGCCCCGACAGGTCTGCCTCCGGACGAGTACGGACGACACGGCTACCACCACCCCAACTTGCGTCATTCTTCGGAAGACAAGGTAGGTTCTCACCCTCTGTTGTGCCGACTCCAGCGTCTCTCGCTGCCCGAATAATCTTGCCATCACGTCGTCCGCCATGTTGGAAGTTTCGTTTTGCACCTTTTTGTTTTTCATCACGGGCGTGCAGGGGCGACCGAAGGACCAACAAGAGTATTGCATGGTCGCGTAAAAATTCCCAAGGCAAGCACCGCAAGAGGGACGGACGGAGACGAACCCTTCTGTGTGACCACGGACTGAAGCCCCTACACGGCAGAAAGGCTGTGAGTGGTGTGAGCGCTGATGATGTATAAAAAAAAATCGTGCAACGATACAGTAGGTCGAGAATGCGCCCAGTATCATCAGTACAACACAGCAAGACGCAGTCACATTCCCACTCGGAAGAAGTGCAAAGGGGCACGTTGCTCGGGGTAGGCGACCACCACCACGACCAGGAGGTGCGAAACAGGAGTGAGATCACGGGGGAACTCCTCACGTAAGGCTGCCTCGTTCGCGGAATACCAGTTGCAGCAGCGCTCTCTTTTTTTTCAATGCACCATTAACCATATGTAAACCGAGCGTGATGCGCCCTCCTCAGGAACAAATTAGACGGACCCTCGCAAAACTTGAAAACATGTTGTTTGCAGGGAGACATACTTACTACGGCCGCGAGGAGGCCGCCTGGAGCGGAGGAAATTGTTCGAAGAGCAGCCACCAAGACGGGAAATGCCCGCACACATTTTTCCACGGAGCTGTTACTGGCGGCGCATGATTAGGGAACCTTAGTTGTCTTCATGGTCCTCTTTCACATTCAATTTTCTAAAAAATAACAACCGACGAAGGAAAAGGTTGGGTGCCAAACCTAATACCTATCGCTGTAGGCAGTACGCCGGCTAGGGCTCTATCAGGATTAAGCGCGGTCAACACGTCATCGCTGAGGCAAAGGATTGTTGTTGGTGGTCGTGTTGCTGCGCTTCGTTTTTGTTTTTGTTATTGTTATTCTGTTCTGATTGTTATTGTTTAAGTCATCTTCCGCTCGGTGTCGCCGAAGCTCCATACCAAGGACTCCCACGACACCTCTTCTGCGATACACTGCTGTATATGCCGTGTTTTTTCGTTTTCTTGAGTGTACTGACACTCGTGTATAGTGACGTGTTTGCGCAAAACAAAATTTGGCTCATAACGACCGTTCGGGGTATTTAAAGTTCCTCCGAAGCAAATCTTGCCAACATTTGTCGCTAAATATGGCCAGATACAAAAATCTGCAAGCAAACTTTGCAAAGTGGCGAACAGACCAACGACCACCTCGAACGGATACCCCGAGCATCTGTATCCCCCGCACACCGCATATACATCCAGGCCAGCTATAAAATAAACAGCAGAGGCCGAGCCTATTCGACCTGCACCGCACGGTCGTGGGTATAGAGTCATGTGCCATGTGCTCCCACATAGATAGCGGGTTGTGTTATTACGTGTGGGTCCAAGCATACGAGCTGCTCGCTGAGAGATCGGCAGAGCGGAGATCACACAGCTTGCTGCACACACACATGCACATACATACACACATATACCGACCGTCAGACAGTCGGGAGCTTCCGGTCGCATGGCTCACGCCCTTGGACAAGCAGATCGACAGAAACCTCTGAGGGCTTGAGGGTCTACTACTTCTGTGCGTTCTCACAGGACGCGGTTGCTCACGATCGGTTCAGGTCTTGCTTACTGCGCCTCTGCTGCCGGCTTGCGTTTGTTGCGTCTTTCTTGCACTCATCTTGCGTGGTTGCAGTCAGTATCATCCTGGTGAGACTGCTCACTCCGTGTCGGGGAAGTTCGGCAGGCTTGAGATCATTGACTGTGGCGGGTTAGATGTGCGCCTTCCGCACCTATCTGTCTGTCCCGCTTTATTACGCTGTGCAGGTTGATGTTCTGTGGCGGGCGATGTGCTCGTTGGGCTCGATACACTTGCTGTGAGTTTACAGCACATTCAACATTCGATGCGTCTTGACGATGTGCGTGTCCGCGTCCGCAAAAGTGTTAATTTCTATCTGCGCACGGTGGAAAGACTTCATATTTTTGTAAACCAGCATCAAAATAGTAAAATTTTTGCTTCCTGCGCAAACACGTCAGTCTGCGCGATTTTTTTCGTTTTGTTGAGTGTACTGCTGTACAGGATTATTGCGGGAACATTCTTTGGCACTGTTTTCGAAAAAATTAAAAGCGCAGGTAACTGGGCCCGAGAGGTAGGTGGAGGGCTAATTCTAATTGGGGGCGACGCAACGTGAATGGGGACGGGGGCACCCAGCAACCGCATCGAGAGAGCAAGTGCTGAGTGCTCTCGAAAGCGCGGCGTGAAGAACACAAGCGAGGGAGGGTGAGAGGGAGGGCGGTCAAATAGAGTCAGTCCGCCTTTGTAGTGTTAGTGTAGGCCACCCCCGATCAATGACTCATCGCAGCCAGTTTCTACCTACCCCTGCACGCCCTTGCATTTCCAATCCGAGATCATTCAGAAGGACTCCTCTGTGGTGGTTGCCATTCTACTCCAACAAGGCTAGTCTTCCGTTCCCTCCGTGCATACTCCGCCGTATATACCTGTGGGACGTCGTTGCGCGCAAAGAGACGAAACACTGATTCAAAACTCACCGCCAAAGAGTCATCGAGTAATCTCCTGCTCTGAGCTGAGCTTGGGGTTGTCGTCGTCGAGCCGTACATGGCCACTCAGTATTTATCTCTCTCTCTCCGCCTCTCCCTACGCGCTGTGCGAGACAGACACAAGCGCATGTGTGCTGGGCGTACTGGCGTGTAGAGCTCATAGGGTCTCCGCCAACCATACAAGCAAGGGGGTGAGATATGATGTGTATCCTCTGCGATGCCCCCCGAGAGAGAGAGCCAGAGGCACACACACATCCAGCAGCCACACAGCCACGCAGCCAGGAAGGGGAGAGAGAGAGAGCGGAGAAATCAAATACCATGAGGGACCGATCAATGTGAGTGAGTGTGTCACGGTGGAGTAGTCGCGAAAAGCGCTTCAAATTGTGCAAGGAGGATACAACTTTTTTTTTTTTCCAAGCATGATAATGGGGACCGCCGCCACGCGGCCTGTACTCGCAGACATTGGCTGTTGGGGCGTTTAGGTGGTGGCAGCCGGCGGGTGTGTCTAGCCACGTGCGATGTGATCACGACTTGGCTGTGGCACTCGATGGTGAAGATGTCGAAGTTGGTGTGTTCATCTTTCATTTCTCCGTTTCATTAGCTGTTGGCTACATACCAGAGGAGGTGGCAAGTGTAAGTGTTGCAAGCAAGACACTCCAACTTGTTGAGAGAGGACACTTCTTTTGTTCTCGTTGTTCTCGTTGGCCTATGCATGCATGGGTTTGTGGGACGTATGCATGGATTTGCGGAACAACCTTGGCGGACATGCGGACGTTGACTTGGCGGTGGTATGCCACGAACAGGTAATAAAGCAGTCGGCAGTCCAATATTTCAATCTGCAAAAGTTGAGGATAGACTCGTTGAAATATCCCGCGATCTGAAGGCACGTGACCGAAGATCCTTCATTTTCCAGAGAGATATGTACTGCTGCAGACTCCGTGTGTGTTAAACGACATCTATCTGTGAGTCTCCCCTCTGTCTCTCCCTGAGCAAGTGCTCGCACCCCCGATGTCGATGTACTCTCCGTGCTCTCCGGCCAAAGCGTTAAAGCCTGCAGGAGTGTTGCCATGTAGACGCTGCAGAGGAATAGCCAAGGTTTGTCCCGGTATCGGTTTTCCACCGTCCAAAAGCCCGTTCTGCCTCGCGGGAGACGGGGATACTTGTGTGTGTACTGTAGACCTACCATGCAAGTTATACCTCACGTTGCATGAGATGTCGCACCCCCTGGACCGATTTTCAAATCTCGATTACTTGGCAGGAAAACAGCAATAGTGGTGCAGGAAATGGCGGCATTGGAACTGTCTCGTCGAGAGCTTTCCGAAATGTATGCATACACCATACTTTATTTCGGCATCCTCTTCGTCGTGGAAAAACGCAAATGCGAACCAAACCAAGTTACCGTCCGTTCATCACCTCTTACAGCCCCCCCCCTCGGTCTATTATCGGATGGTGTGTGCGGTGACAACGTGTGTGGCGCGCTTCGAAATGACAGGAGGGTAGCCAAGTGCGCCACGCTCCCCAGCAACACGGCGCAGAGGGTGAGTGAGAGCATCAATCAGACAGAGGTACTTAGCCGGCTTTCAGGAGTTCTCAACTTGTATGTGCTCTGTCAGACATGATAACATGTGAGCCACAGCAGGAGCAGCAGCAGCAGCAGCAGCAGCGTGTGCTTCAGCAGTAAAGCTCTTTCGCAGTTGCGGTGTAAGCACACCCGCGTTTGATGCCTGGTATCACCGCCTGGTGACGGAATATCCAGCAGCCTCGGCGAGAATATTAAGCTTGTTTTTGGTAGGGGGTACTTGGTGGGGTTTTAAGGGGTAGGGATACGCAAAACCGCACTCTATTTCATTAATTGATAATATTGTCCTGGCGAAGGTGATCCTGAATCTCGTGTCTTGGTCCCGCCTCAACGCATGAGTTTTCGACGCCTCCCTGTGTTGGAAAACCCCACGCCGAAGGGATGTTCCGGAAAATCATGAAGAAAATTTACCATTTTGGGGGAAAGGCACTCCGACCGTCGCCGAGAGAACGAGGAATCCGATATCATTGTCTCAATTGTGACATGGAGTCTCCCTCGTATGCAAAAGCCTGTGCAAGGGATTTAATACCTGCGGTCGAGGCCTACACCAATCAAGTATCCTCATACCCCATCCGTCGATGTCGCATCATGTGGTGGTGCCGGTCTCTAGCCACGAGTGGTTTTCTGTTTTCGGCTCATCTACACCATCAGTTTGTAGCCGAAAATGCGGCGTATCTGTTGTTTGGACTCGCTGATTTGGGTGTTCTTTTTGTCTCGTTTTGTTTTTTCGGCGTTTGTTGCCCCGCCATTCTTCTTCATTTCTTTCTGCCCCTTGAGACGTTTCAGCGCGGCGCCTTCGTTTTGTATAGCACGCCGACAGCACGCAGCTACCGCTGGGTCGGCTCGTCTCCCTCCCCAATTGGCCGTTTCTTTCGTACGATGATAAGGCCCGACGATGTACATGTACAATAACAACCCGTCTTGTATCCACTGACCAAAGCCATGTGCTTGACTGTTCTCACAGTATCACGAGCAGCAGGCGGAAGAGCATTTGGAGCTGGCGGCCCGGGGGAGATTGAGGTGCTTCGCATGCGGAGAAAGGCGAGTGCACTTCTCATTTACTCTTTGCTGTGTTTCGCTTTCGCCCTGCGCTGCCGAGGGGGGGGGGGGGGGGGGGGGTACTCATAGTCGTGCATGCCGTAGTCGTTAGACCATTGACCTCGCATCCCTACAAAGCCGGGACGGAGCACGCCGGGTCCTCACCGGACCAGGCTCTAACATCACCAAGCGCGAAGCCCCGTGAGGCGACGAGAGGGGAGGGGGGGGGTGTCACGGCGTGCTTTCGTTGCCTTGCTAATGTTTTCTTTCGTTTTCTCTCTCGCAGGGAGCTCGAATCATGGCCAGAAAGGCGATGATGCCGTCCTGTACACCGGTTGTTATTAATTGCTGTACCTTTTGTCATCGAACTCTGTGCCGTATATTGTCGAACGTTGCACTGCAGGTCGCGGCCTTTACCACCTGTTGCCCGTGTCACGATCTTACATTACTTGCCTTATTCGTCTCAAGCTGTATCGTCCATTGGCCCCTCCGCAGCTGTCTGTTTACCTCGTTTTGTTGCAAGCTACAGTACCCCTTTTACGGCAGCACTAACCAACCCTGTCGTTCCACAGTCCCAGTCGCGCCTTTTGGTACCCTTACCCATTAGTCGCACCCCGCCGCCCGTGTGTCTCTGTGTGTGGTGCCTGCTGTTCCATGTTTTTTTCCGTGGAACGCAGCCAACCCCACAACCAGGTGAGGTGCCACCCGAAGCTGTTCGTGCACGTCTGCTCCCACTGCCACGACGTGTACCACCAGGGGGAGTTTGATGTCGCAGACGGTGAGGAGCGAGACAATGGGTTGGGTTACAGCAATGAGCGACTCCTTCTTGGTTGCAGTTCCAGCCGCAAAAAACTGTTCTTTTTTGCAAACGCCTGCTGTATTGTGCACAATTGAACACTTCCCGCAACATGCATTAGTTGTTGTTTTTTGTTCTTTTTTTTTGTTTACTTTCAAGATGGCTTGTGGTTTCTCCACGTGGCAAAGAGAGTGCTGGTGGTATCTCCGGTATCTCCACATTCTCCGTCAGATGAAGATGAGGGGGGCATGGTCACAAGTTATCTCCAAATATCTCTCCTGGTGATTGTATTGCAAGACGCATATACCTACGTACCTTTGTTTCGGTTTGTCGTTTCTTGTTGTGGCGCTTTCGTGCTCGAGACCGATCGATGTCTCGGGGTTCGTCGTCGCGAAAGACAGCCAAGCATGAAAGAGCACAGGCGTACGTCTACAGTTAGCCTCTGGTAGTACTTTTGACCGAGGGCGAGGTTCTTAGTTCCTAGGGTTATGCTAGAATTGGTTGCTATTATATCTAGGTTTTTGTGTAGGGGTTGGGTGAGGTTCTTAGTTCCTAGGGCCATGCTAGGAATGGTTGCTATTATATCTAGGTTTTTGTGGAGGAGTTCTTGGGTGACCTCACAAATAGGTGCTTAAAAGTTCTTCGATTTTGAGTGTTTCGAGGCTTTATCAATTTCTTCGCTGCCAAGTTTTGACGTGCGAGCGCCGACTACTGTAGGCACGTTTGTTTGTGTCTTTAGTTTATTGCACCTCGTCCGTTTTAGCGAATGAGAGGGATCACCAGATGCCGCACACGCCACAATAGCACCCTTCCTATCATACGATGCGGTACAAGCTGGAGACAGCAGGGTTTCATCGGTCTCGCAATTCCCAAAACTCGTCGCTAGATCGAGCTTCTTTTTTCCCTTTTTCCTCAGCTAATAGTTGCAAACGCCACGCTGGTTTTGGGCACGTATGGTTGGACACCCATCTACTCACATCTGCGAGCCCCCTCCCCCCTTGATGAATGTTTCACCCCCCGCGTTTTTCTGCTACACGTTTTTCTGCTACACGCAGACGGGCGCGAGATGTACTGCCGGATGTGTGGAGATGGCGGAGAGCTTACTTCGTGCGACGAGCGCCAGGCGGGCACCAGAAGGCCGTGTCCATTCTCGTTTTGCCTGGCGTGCATCGAGCGAAACTTCGGCTACGAACATGTGCGTGTGTGTGTATTTACTATTTAGCATGTAACGGCGGCGAATCGGAAAATGGGTGCGGCGATTGCCGCCTCCTACTCCCGAACATCAAATTGAGTCACAACAAACTAGTCACCACACTAAAGAGAATGACCGCTTTGAGAAGAAAACAATTTCTGCGAAAAATTCCCTGTCGTCGTCCATTCCGCGCATCAACGCGCCGTCGCACCATCTTCAGCGCGTCCCACTTGGTAGTTGTTTCACACCACCTAATTAGTCTATCCTGACAATTTTGTGACTCCCACCAAGCTCCCACACTGTCAACTTTGAGGATAACTCTTCTCCCCCCCCCCCCCATCCGGTCTTTGAATACAAAATAAACAACGTTTTTTCCGGGCCTACAGCAGTATGTACGAAGATGCCTGTCCGTGCCAAGACCAGCATCCTTTTACGGTACATGGACCAATGCTTTGAGTAGGGTATATTATGTTTTGGGGGGCAATGGGTGATAGCCTCTTGAGGCTTTCTCTTGAAGAGCACACGCAAGACTTGTTATGTGTAAACTAGTGGATGGATAAAGTGCAGATGGACCCAACGGTCATGCGGTCGCAAAACACTACCCACATCCCAATATATGCCCCAATTTTTAATGGTTGCCATCCAGCATATCCTTCGTAGTCCAATGGTTAGGATATATCGCTCTCACCGATGAGACCCGGGTTCAATTCCCGGCGAGGGAGTTTCTTTTTCGTCGTTTCCATGCATGCTGTAACATATTGTATGTTTCTGCCATTTTCTTCAGGGCTTTCTTCGTGAATTTCTCCGCGGTAATTTTACTGCGGTAAAACCACGGTAATTACCGTTCCCCGTGATCCCGTGAAAAATTATATTTACCGTTAACGCCCAAACCGGTAACGAACAATTTGAGTTTTCCCATTACCGTACAAAAGTTTACCGCGCAAAAAAATCGTTTTTCCCGTGCTTTCGAGTTACCGCGGAGTACATTACCGTAAGAACAATAAGATCCCAATTACCGCACAGAAACACCTAGTGGATTCCTGAAGGTCATAATAAAATGACCGCTGCCTTTCCAGGCCACCAGGTGTATCCGTCCCATAGACCTCTGGAAACGGAGAGTTCGAGTCCCATTCTCTCTTTTTTCTGTCATCTCTTTTATTTTTCTTGAAGGTTTTTTTTCGGGTAAGACCCATGTTTATGGTCGCCAAATCTTTGAAAAAAATCTTCAAATGTTATCAAACATTTGCGTGCGAATATCTGCCAGAGGAACATTTGAGTACCGTTTTTATGGGCAAAAAAATCTTTATCGTGTGGTTTTCTCGAAATGCATCGCACGTGCGGCGGGAATCGTGGTCTACTGCTACCAAACGATTTGTGACAGACAAACCACAAATGCGTCATGGAAACTGAATGTAACGAGCTCGCAAAGGGCTCCCCACAACCCTTGATGCACTGAGCTGATGCTGTGCCCGCCAATATGTGGCGATAGCGCTCCGTGCGTGCGAGAAAAAATGTTCTCGGTGTCAAAAAGAGACCAAAACGTGCGTCAGCGCTTCCCAACGGCAAAAAGTCGACCGCTTGACAGGACATGTGAGTACAAAACTATCCAGCTCTCGTCCTCTAGACCATCGATTCATGTTTTATCTTCTTGGGTGTCTTCTCCATCAACGACTCTCATCCGGTTGTGCGTGGGTTAGCAGTGGCCGCGCTCAGCCGGCAGGGAGGCACATCGTTGTGCGCGCAACGTTGTGGACACAACGTTTTTTTCGGTCTATTTTTTCACTTGAATATAGAGGGCTTGTTCCTCCGTCCCAAAAAAGACTTTTTCAACACATCGAGTTCACAGCGACGCGCCTCCCTGCCTGTTGAGTACGTCCACTGCTGAACCACGCACACCCGGATGAGAGCCGTTGATGGAGAAGACACCCAAGAAAACAAAACATGAACCGATGGTCTAGAGGACGAGAGCTGGATAGTTTTGTGCTCACCTCTCCTCTCAAGCAGCCGACTTTTTGCCGTTCGGAGACACAAACCACGCTTTCTCCGTGCCCTCCAAACCACCCCTGTCTGTTTGTTTTTTTGTGCACGCTTGACGAGCTCCCGCCATGTATCAGCCGGCAAAACATTGACACGGTGACTCTAGGGTTGCCCGGATCCCTCTATGAGCTTGCTACGTTGAGTGTGCGCTGCGCAGTGGTTGGTGTTTAGGACGGAAGGGGCGGTCGGCTACTAATCTCGCCGCTCTTGGGAAACATTTTCGCGACCTGCCCCATTTCAAAATGTTTGAGAATATTTTGCCGAAGATTTTCTCCCATAAACAGTGAAACAAAATCTTTGTCCGCAAATGTTTGAAAATATAAACATTTTCGCAAAGATTTGGCGACCATAAACATGGGTCTAATGTGCTTTTTTTTTTTTTGCCGTTCAGACGTGTCATGGTGTGGTTTACTGTACAACTTATACTGTGGTAACCAGTCACCGTACAAAATGCACATTTCTGTGCATTACCGTGATGGCTGGTTACCGTACAAGAAAATTACCGTGGTGACCAGTTGCCGTACGGAATTGCCGTGGTGACCACTTACCGTACGGAACTTACCATGGTGACCAGTTGCCGTACGGAATTTACCGTGGTAGCCAGTTACCGCCCAAGTATTACTGTACTGTGCCGTGGTGGCCAGTTAACGCCCAAAAAATGCCGTATTGTTCCGTGGTTTTTGGTTAACGCGGGAAATGATGCCGACATGAAAAACCGTTAACGAAGAAAGCCCTGATTTTTTTTCTCCTTTGCTCTCAAGAGCGACTGTTCCACGTGGAATATTCTATTACCATACAACAGGACATCTCGTTTAATTATTTTCTCGCTTTTGGCTCAAACAACATGGAATAGTGTGACTGTTCCGCGCAAGGATGACACACAGCCGGCACAAGCCATGTTCATTTTAGACACAAACTAAAAAAGTGTAGTGTAGAACGCGTCTCACCACGGAAAATGGGGGAACTGTCACCACAATCATAGGACGAAAAAAAAAAAATCGACCGCGCTAACTGGTGACCAATGAAAAGACGTCAGTCTCAGCGCGGTTGAAAACACAAAAACACCTGTAAATGCCATGAATGGGACCCCGTGCGGGGGCGGCATGCATGTGTGTGTGCGTGTGTTTCTTTTTTGCTAGCGTCGACGGCGCTAAGCGGCTCACCAGTGGAAATACGTCAGTCTCAGTGCGTGTGTGCGTCTTTATTGTTAGCATCGACCGCGCTACCCGGCTGGCCAATGAAAAGACGTCAGTCTCACTGCCGCTGAATACAGAATATGCTTCTAAATATGTGTGTATTGTCATCGGCCGCGCTAACCCGCTCACCAATCGAAAAGACGCCAATCCCAGTGCGGTTAAAACGGGAACGGTGCTACCCATGGGCCACAATCTGGACCCCGCGTGTGCATACGTGTTTGCAGAGAGTTCATTGCAGCCACAAGTTCAAGTGCTGGATCTGCGACGACGGGCCCATGGAGCAGCTCAGGAGGCGCATCCCTGGCTACGAGCACAACAGCAAGAGCGTTCTCACCAGCCTCATCATGCAGGTTCCGAAGTGTCGAGGAGGAGGAGGAGGAGGAGGAGGAGGATGGGGGAGTGCCGGCAAGGATTCTAAAGCGGAGTCGCATGTCGGAAAAAGCGCGGTTACCGATGGTACCAGTGCTGCTGCTTCCAAACCAAGGCCCAAGAAGAAAGCGGCATCGTCATCATCGTCTTCGGCATCTACGGTATCCCTGTCGGAGACGGAATCGGACCGACCCTTGCCCCCTCCCTGTCGACGACAGCAGCAGCGTCGAAGGCAGCAGCCGCGGCCTACGGGGTCCGGCGGGGGGGCGCAACAACCGGCCGCTAGTCGCCGGCGGTGCCGGGCGTTCGAGTCCGGAGACGAAAGCTGTGCCTCCGAGGGGTTTCCAGACTTGGATGGGGGTGAGGACGGAATGGGCGGCACCGACAAGGATAGGAATGGCCAGCATGGCAACGGCAGCAGCGGGGTGGCGCCAGCGGTGTGCGGGGCTCCGCTCGCCATAGCTCCCCCTCCCGGGGGCCCCGGCAAAGGCGCAACCCTATTGGACGTTCCTTACTCCCCGCCTCGTGGAGGCGGCGGCGGTGGCTACGTCCATTCCTGGAAGAACAACCCACCGGATGAGCAAGAGGATGGAGAAGGAAGTGCCGCGGGGGGTATGAGCACGGACTCCAGCGACAGCGACGACAACAGCACTTGCGGTGACGGCGGCTACAGCCGTAGGCGGAGGAGGGGTCGGGAGGGGAAGAGGAACACGGCTGGGGGAGGCAGCGCCGAGGATGGTGTGTTCCAGTGGGACAGGCGGCAGTTGATTAACGACCTCTCTCGCGGGCTTGAGAACGTCAAGATTCAGGTTCGTCCATTTGGCGGTCATTCACAGAACACAATACCGCAAGGATGCGAGAGATGTAACCCTCCCTAGAAGCTCGATTGCTCCACAATCAAGTGGGTGCGGCAAGAGCCCGATGCGTCTCTACGGAAAGCCCTCCACGAGATGTTTCCAAAACCACATTTTTGGCGTTGGTACACGCTTGATTGTGGAGCAATGGAGCCTTGAAACCGGTTTTTTGGGGGGTGCCACCTCTGGCATACCTACGGCATCCCGAATACCCGCCGCAAACCCAACCCCACTACTGGGGTCGAGGTCGAGGAGGCGGGCTAGCTCGCTGGCATCCACCCGTATCTACCGTGAAGATTAGGGAGAGCCCAGTTTCCATGGGAATATGTTGCCGAAAATTTAGGGGTCGGAACCATCTCGTCGGGAACTTCCGAAACTTTTCACATGATTCGTTCGTCCTCTTCGTGGAGTAATCGAGCTATGAAAATCGATCCGGGGTGTGTGGTATCATGTGTCACTTACGGTACTACAGTGTAGTTCTCCTTATTTACACCCTGTCTACATAGCGCACCTTCCTATACACGTATGAATTCTCCGAGAAAGCGATTACTCCCAACGGGTCATCCCCCGAATCGGGGACCCCAGATCATCGGAACGAAAAAGCCTGTTGGGCAGTTCGACGGTTTCAGTATGTTACACAACGGTTTGGCACCGCTACACATCGAATCAAACCTGTATTTGGTGCTTGTTTAAGGGGAAATGATCCGCTAGCAAGTTCGAGGACAAGCCCCGACTCTTGTACCACCAGCACTGGAGGCAGGCACTAAACACCCTCGATAAATGTTCTGGTATGTGTGTGAGGGTCCTCACAGTCGTGCATGCCGTGGTCGTTTGACAATTGACCTCGCATCACTACAAAGCCGGGACGGAGCACACCGGGTTCTCACCGGACCAGGCTCTCACATTACCTAGCGCGAAGCGCCGTGAGGTATGCGGCGAGTCGCATGGAGGGTGCGCTGCATCCTGCTAAGGGTGTTCGGCATATTGTGCTTACCTCCGTGCAACGGTGTTCTGGTGGGGGGGGGTGTTATCTGTGGTCCCATCGGGTGCAGGTGTGCAACGAGGAAGATGAGGAAAAGCTTCCGTTTTTCCGGTACGTGACCGGTTACGTCATGGGGGGAGACGTCCATCAGAAGAAGGATCCAGATGATATGGTGAGAGAGAGAGAGAGAGGCTGCCCGATTCGTTCAGTCTGGCCCATCAGGAGGCATTATAGTACGTGATTTGCTTTGTAAGTGGTGGATAGTGGGTCCAGTTTTTCAAGATCGGTTAGCGCTATGCGGTGGCATCAGCACACGACCATGGTTAAGCAGTGCGGGAAGGGGGTGTTTCGAGAGAAGAGCGGCCGGAAACATGCCCACCGCTGCTGTGTGAAGGCTGTTGGTCTACTCGGTTCGATGAAGATGTCGAACATGTCAAACCTCCGCGGATGGTGCTATGTACCCCCGAGCAGCAGTAGTAGATAATCGAAACGAGGACCGTCCTTCCCCAAACTCCAGCAACTAGAACCCCGCCGGGAATGCGGTTCAACCGTTCGACCATGAACCACTTGTGACTTGTGACGCCGGTTCGTCTTGACACAACACACCGCACTCCTGTCATTGTCCGCCACTCGGCCCGAACGGGTGCACAAACGCGACAAAAAACGCCGCCGTCATCGTCCAGTGGGCCCGCACTGCTGCACAAACGTTGCACGAAAACGCCTCCTCAACATTTTTTTTGTATTCAATATTTTTTTTGTTTCAATGATTCGGTTTCAGGTGTGTTGCGACTGCACCGACGGTTGTAGAGACCCCAACCTCTGCGCCTGCCTACGGCTGCGAGCGGGGAAGGCGGGATCGGTGTACTTAGCCGACATCGGCGGCACCGGCGGCGGCGGCAGCGGCGGCGGGGGCGGCGGGGGCGGCGGCGCGGCGGCGGAGACGTCGGTCGAGGAAGAGAAGTCCGGTCGGCGACGGTTTTACAACGATGACGGCCTGCTTCTTCATCTCCCGGACGCGATCTTCGAGTGCCACGCGGGGTGAGCCGGTGTCCGTCGAGTCTAGTGAATCGGGGTCTGTTTGGCCTGTCTGCTTGCTCTGCTTGCTTTGCTTGCTCTGCTTGCTTTGCTTGAGATGCTTGAGATGCTTGCGGGTTTTTTGTTTGTGTTTTGGGTCCGTTCTGAACGTGGAGCGATGGGGGAACGTGGGGCACAACCGCGTACAACGTTTTTGTTATTGTTCCCTCGCCACGCGTGTCGCCTAGTGCGGGTGATGTTTATGTGATGGCTGGTGTGAAACGAATGACAGACAAGCTTGATCTCGGCACAAGCAGCTCAATGAGCGAAGCACCTCTCAAGACTTGCTTCTCGATCGACCACGAATGTTGAACGTGCTTGGGCACCACCTGGTGCCACGACGCCGCGTTTACGATGACGACGAAATGTCCCTTCTTGTCGCCGATTTTGCAGCGCCCCCCTTTCTCTGTTAACTCTTGCTTTGTGTTGTGTGCACGCCGCCTCGCCACTGATGTTTTTTGTTATGTTTTTTGATACGAAGCGTGTTTTTTGTTATGTTTCTTGTGATGTTTTTTTTTGCGAAGGGTGTTTTTCGTTGTGCTTTTTGTTTTGTTTTCTTGTGATGTTCTTTTGTTGTGTTTCGTTTCGCTGTTCCGTTTTTCAGGTGTGCGTGCAACCCGCGGAGGTGCAAGAACCGTGTCGTGTCCCGTGGCGTCCATCTGCCCCTCCAGGTACCTTTACAGCCCACGCTTGTCTTCTGCCAAGAAGCGGTGTGATGTGCTATTGCACGCTGCTTCTGTCTAGAGCCGAAGCGCGTTGTGACCATCTCCGTCACCCCCTCCCTCGCGTCTCACCCTGTCGTTCGCTATGAAGCGGCGTGACCGTCTAGGTACATTGCACACCATTTTTATCTCTACCGTTAGGAAGCGGTGTGGCCGGCTCCCTCATCAGCTCGCTCGCTCTCGCCTCCCTCTGGCTAGCTTGGTGCTCTCCCTGCACCTGCCGCGAGTCTATCTCCAACTTGCCGCCCTGCCCTGCGTGCGTCCCGTATGTCCCGCTCTCGCGAGTATCAAGCTTGTCGTAAACGAAAGCAAGAACATCCCGATTCTCCCACTCACTGTGAAGACTTTAACCCACCCCCTTCGACTGTGGTTATATCTCGAATGAGTAGTCTTCTTTCATTTTTTGTATATTTTCTAACCCATCCCCTTCGACTGTTGCTATATCTGGAACGAATAGTCTTTCTTTCATTGTATATTTGCTAGCCCATCCGGTTCAACTGTAGGTATATCTCGAACGAGTAGTTTTTTCTCTCATTGTATGTATATAGGCATCCCCTTCGACTGCTGTGGCTATATCTCGAACGGGTAGTCTCTCTTTCATTGTACGTGCATTTTCTATTCCATCTCCTTCGACTGCTGTGGTTATATCTCGAAAGTCCTTTCATTGCACGTATATTTTCTAGGAAACTCGATCATCTTGCTATCGTTTTCGTTGCAGCAAAGAAGCTAACCAACCTCGTCGCCGTCCTCCGTCCGTCCCCTCCGCAGGTATTCCGATGCGCGGAATCCGGCAAAGGGTGGGGCCTTCGCTGCGTGGAACCCATCCCCGCGGGTTCGTTCGTGGCGTGCTACCTGGGGGAGGTGCTGACGGATAGATCCGTTGACGACCGTGGGAGGCAGACCCACGACGACTACGTGTTCGGCCTTGACTTCGCCAAGTGCGCCGCCAGGCCGGGCCACAGCGGTGGCAGCAGCAGCAAGTCAAGCAGGAGGCGCTCGATAGCGATGACATCCTCGAGCAATGCTGATCAGAGCAATTGGGGCTTGCGGTTTCCGTTGACAGCGCCTACTGGTGCTGCTTCTGCTTCTTCTTCTCCTTCTCCGCGGCGTAGTGGCAGCAGCGCCGCCTCAGCCGCCGCCGACGGCGGAGCCCCCGGGCGGGGGGAGGGCTCGGCGTCGCCCGCTGTGTCGTTAAAGAGCCCTGTAAGGAAAAAAACACGAACTTCGCCGAGTTCGCCGCTAGCTGCAGCCGCAAGAACAGGCGCAGGGGCAAGAGCGGGAGGAGGACTGTCTAAGGATCAAGAGGAAGCCTTTGGTGACTTCGTGGTCTCCCCGAACAGGGAGAAGTTGCTGGAAGGGTTCGTCGGCGCTACGGGGTGTATGAGCCGCGAGCGGGCGGCGTACTTCCTGCGGGGCGCTGGCGGCGATCTGGCGGTGGCGGTCAACCACTTCCTCGACGCGCCGGCTGGTGCCGGTGCCGGTGATGCTCGTGGCGCCGCTGATGATGCTTATGCTGGTGGTGCTGGTGCTGATGCTGATGCTGGTGCTGATGCTGATGCTGGTGCTGATGCTGATGCTGATGCTGATGCTGTTGCTGATGCTGCTGCTGGTGTTGGTGTTGGTGAGGACAAGGGGCCGTGTGCAGACGACGATGCAGATGACGATGTGGGGGCCCAGTCCCCGGCTCCCCCCCTCCCGTGCGAAGAGGCGAAGCAAGCGGGTGGCGGTGCTACGGCGGGGGGCGGCGCTGCTTCCTCGAGAAGGACTACGGTGTCGCCGCCGAGTTCTCCCGCGGAGGTGCTCTGGCAAGAAGTGGGAGACGACTTGGGTGGTGACGAAGCGGTGACGGAGGCGGGGGCGGGAATGCTCGTGCCTCCCTGGAGGCACGGCAGCGTGGCGATAGTGGCGGAGCCCCTCACGAAGAACGTGGTACCGTCTGGGGCGACGTCGCCGCCTTCGTCTTCCGCGACACCCCCCCCATCGGGTGAGGAGGCTGCAGCCTGCGGAGCCCCCTTGCTGATGGAGGCTTTTTGTGTCCTTGGCTTTTGTTCGAACGTGCCAGTCGGTTTGTTTGCGGGGTTACCTTTAGAGGTCGTGTGTATGCTGTTGACCAAGCGGTGTTGTGTTTCATGTGTTTTGTACCTTGAACATGCGCTGCAAATGTGTCTGTTCTACTCTTGCTGTGATCCCTGTCTCTTCCTTTCTTGTTTCCTCTCTGCCTCTTTGCCCTCCATCTCTCTCCCTCTGATTGTCTCTTCCTCATGGCTCTGTCTGTCTGCCTGCCTCTCTCTCTCTCTCTCTCTCTCTCTAATTCTCCCCTTCTAATCTCTCCCCCTCCTCTACGCGCACACGGCCGTTGCCCATGTTGCTGTTCTCTTTCGCGCTTGCCACGCGAAACGACGACGGCGTAGACGAACTTCCCGACGCCAAGCGCATCAGGAGGGGGGGCGACCTGCACGAGTCGTTGTGCGAAGTCGTCGACCTCGCAGGGCACCCCCCTACAGCAGTTTCGTCGCCGGGGCCCTCACGCGGGTCCGGAGGGAGCGGTGGGCAGTGGCTGACACGCCGGAAAGACAAGACGCCTCGAGAATCTTCGACCTCGAGCATGGCCACAGCAGCAGAAACAGCTGTGAGTGTGGCCACAGCAGGTGTGAGTGTGGCCACAGCAGCAGAAACAGCTGTGAGTGTGGCCACAGCAGGTGTGAGTACGCCCACAGCAGCAGAAACAGCTGCTGTGAGTACGCCCACGGCAGCAACAAGAGCGGCACAAGAAGAAGTGAAGGATGGGGAGGGGCTATTCGCGGAGATTGACCTCTCTCTGGAGGACGAGTCGACCGCCGCGTCGCAGACCCGACCATCACCCAAACACGCTGCTGTCTCTACCGCCGAAGAAGCCCATCGGACGCCGCCGCCGAGTCGGAAGATCGCCGCGCGGACCCACGCTGCTGCGGTCGAAGGCCCCGGTGTTGACATCGCCGCAGCCGGTGCCGGTGGTGGTGGTGACGAGGTCGCTGTCGATGTCGATTTCGAGGGGGAGGCGTGGACTCCGTCTTCGCCGCGCTCGGATGTGTCGCCGGAGGTGAGTCCGCGGGAAAGGGCGCACCTGACGGCAATAGTGTCCCGAGGCTGAATCGGACACGCACAGCACGCGGACCACGACGGACGGCACCCAGACCCGCGCAAGCGAGGGCCGACTTTTCCGGGCCTGGACACCAGTTCTTTGTCCCGACCCTATTCCGTTGGCCCCCGTTTCACTGTTGAATTCATTCTGCTGACCCCCCCCCCCTGGCCGCTTCCGTTGGCTCCCGTGTCATTGTGTATTTATTCCACGGAACCTCCCTCTTCCGGCCGTTTTCCGTCGGCCATGTCGCTGTGTATTTTTTCCGCGGACCCCCGGAGGCAAGATGGCGGTGGACGCCAAGGACTTCGGCAACGTGGCGAGATTCATGAACCACAGCTGCGACGGAAACCTGGTCAAGAAGGTGAATGGGTGGATGGCGGCTCTCCCGCCCGCACGTGGCATCTCCCCGTTTTCCCCTTTTCCGTGACACATACAGGGACCCGATAGAAAAAAGAGGGGCGGTGGCATTTCCTCACAAGTAAACATTGTGTTTTCGGTTAGCACGAAAACAGAGGGGTAAGCGTGCTGTTTGTTTTTGTGGGCTCTTTGCCGTTTGAGACTACAGGAGAGATAGGGTACTGTGTAGACCAGAGGAGGTTTTCGTGTGACGACGTCGACAGCAAACAACACGCTGATGTGGTCCTACGCCTTCTTTGCCGTCGAGCACGTTGCGATTGTTTCGCTACAGAGCACGCCACAACTTGACAACGTTGGAGTCAAGCCACAACTTGACAACGTTGGAGTCAAGCCACAACTTGACAACGTTGGAGTCAAGCCACAACTTGACAACGTTGGAGTCAAGGAAATCCAAAACAGAGAGATTTAAGAACTTGGCCACAAGAACAGGTGCCCAGTTAAGAACCTTACAATGAAACCTGCGCAACGAATAGCCAAAGAATCCTACGCTGAAACCTATGTGGAAACCTATGTGGTCGATGTTGGGTTCCTTACCCTACAGAGGAAAAATAGCAAGCCTCGAGACAAGATGGTGGAAGAGGTTCTTGCGTGGTGGCGCCCTCTACATACAATGTTTTTTCCCTGTTGGGGGTGCTGTTGTCGCTTTTGTGTTCGGTCGAGAGATGCCCTTTTTGCCCTCAGGCTCGGGTTGCTTTGGAACAAAACCTTTGATGCTCTGTAGGCCCGCTTCTCGATACCGAGAAGAAGTCATTTCGTGAATTGACTATCCGATAACCATCCAAAGTGCAAGAGATTTCTTGGCATTTCTTCGTCATTTACAAGGCGGATCTTGCACGCACCTTCAGCAACTCAGCAGCGAAGCAAGTCACCCCCGCGCCAATCAACACGGGCTTGTTTGCGGTGCGATTTTTTTTCGGCAGATGGTTTTCGTCGAGGGCCACGACTTTCGCATCCCGCGGGTGGCGTTCTTCTCTCTCGAGAAGATACAGGCGTACGAGGTACGTGGGGTCGAGAAGAGGTAGAGGTAGCGAACGACTTGATTGTTCTCTGTCTGTCTGTCTGTCTGTCTGTATCTCTCTCTCCCCCCCTCTCTCTCTCTCTCTCTCTCTCTCTCTCTCTCTCTCTCTCTCTCTCTCTCTCTCTCTCTCCCTCTCCCTCTCTCTCGCTCTCCCTCTCTCCCTCTCTGTCGCTGTCGCTCTCTCTCTCTCGTTCTGTGTGTGTGTCTCTCTCTCTCGGTCTCTCTCTCTCTCGCGCGCGATGCGCGTGCGGCTTTGACGACAACGGCCGTCGACACCACAGAGTGGAAAATGTCGTAAGCCTCTCGGGCTGAAAAGGCAGGCACAAAACGCGAGATGGTCGGTGCAGACGGGGTTGGCAGGCAGGAGACAGCAGGACGCTATGTCCCATGGGTGTTGTTGTGTTTGGTTGTTGTTGTGTTTGATTGTTGTTGTGGTGTTGTTGTTGTTGTTGTTATTGTTGTTGCTTCTGTTGTTGTTGCTGTTACTGTAGTTGCAGGTGGTGGTGATTGTGGTGAGGCCTTTTAATTGTGGTGGTGGTGTTGTGGTTGTCGTTGTTGTCCACGTAGAGAGCCCAACTTTCGACAGGCTTTCACGAAGCATTCGCACAACCAGGCACTCCACAAACAGCGAGATCAGCGAAACTGTGTAATAGCACCGTCGCGTGCTTACGTTGCTATCGTCCGGCGACCGCCGCCATTCCAAGCGATTCGGATGCGTAGTAGACGGGCGTTGCGGTGCACCTGAAGTGACGATATACCCGGCGTGTCACAAAAGCATTGATATGTATGAAGCTTACGCTCGATACCGCTTCAGGTGACGCCATACGTGGAGGAAATTCGACGCAATGAACGCATGCATATGTACGAACAACTACGCAACGTGAGGAAGGCAATGCGGTGCAACTAAACCGGTTCATCCCCAACCCCCATGCGGTAACAACCGCGATGCACACGCCCCCGCACCTGATTCATCCCTGTGAAACGTAGCCTGGGCCGGCGAAAATCGCTCCGTCCGGGCGTTGTAGGGACGCGAGGTCTATACGACTACGGCATGCGTTTACATGAGTACACCCCCACCCCCGCCCACACCAAACAGGAGCTTACGTACGACTACAACTACAAGGTCGGTTCGGTGGAGGGGAAGAGCCTGGTTTGCCGCTGCGGGGCCCCGTCTTGCCGCGGGATGCTGCTTTGAAACCCCAGTCAAGCCGGCACGCTCTCCTTTCCGTGTTTTGACGGGACGGGATGGACTGTTGATTCCCACTACCGTCACGTTACGGGACGTTTGATAAAGGTTGTGTGTTAATTGTTGGTGTGGTGTTGTTGTTAGTGTTGTCTTCAGTTGAGAAAACCGTTCCGATCTCTGCTCAGTACCGTCGAACACCCGTAACTGCCCAACTGACTCCGACGCAGGGTGTGGTCACAGGCCAACTACCGCAAGAGGCGGCGAGAAGACACCCCCCCCCTAGACAGATTTTTAAAGCTCGATTACTCCGCAACCAAGATTGTTCCAACGCCAAAATTGGCGATTTGAAAACCATTCCCTCGAGGGCTTTCCGTAGACGTATCGGGTTCCTTCCTCATCGAGGTTTGAAAGTCGGCATCGGCGGGGTGCCATCTCCCCGCCTCCTACGGTACCCCCAACAAGGGTACAATTTTGCGCTACGGAGACTCAAAAGAGATTGTAAATAGGTTTAGGTTGTGTTGTTTGTTATTGAGCCCGTCGCTGTTGTCGTCGTTGTTGTCTCGACATGTAACGGTTCTGGCGTCTAGAGAGCATCCCTCCCGCACGGTGTATTGTACAGTAGACAAGTGTCGTTGTTGTCTCCAGTGGGATGGCGCCTGACGTTGCACCGCTAGATAGGGAAGTATAGTGTCTTATCGACCGTTAAATACGTTTGGTTGATAGTTTGCTAGGGTTGGTTCGAAGGTCTCATTAGAAGGCAAGGCGCCAACGCCGTTTTTCAGTGTATTTACGCGAAAAATACATGCGCAGATCGTTATTTGAGGTTTAGTAGCGTCTTGATTAGGTTACGGGCAGTTGCTACAAATGACGCTGGGGGGGAGATAAATAGGCGAGAATGGTAGCGATATTTGTGTTGTGTGTCCTGCCTTGGGCGCCAGATGATGGGGTTTCCTACGCGTTACTCTGGTGTTCGTAGAGGCGGGGCCAGCTGGCAAGGACGAGAGGCGACGTCACATTGTTTTTTTCACGTCCCGTCTGTTGCGGCCGCCGGCCTACACCCTTCGGTGTGTATGTTTGGCCGGGGTCACACAGACAGGAGGATTTTTACGTTTCCTCCTACGGTGCGGCCTTCCAGGAGGAGTTATCTGCGTTTACTCCAACGATGCTTGCCTTCAATTACAGCAGTACCGCGAGAAGGGTTCAGCCGTCCCCTTTCCTGTTGGTTGTGTGTGGACAAGACTTGTCGGGGTTCACATCTACAGTCGGCCGTGATCGCACGGAGGAACGGCTTGATAGAGATGCGTGTTTTGTTTGGATGGGGGTCGAGTTTGGCGTGTTGTGCATCACCCCCCCTCAACGATCACGTGCAGTTGGTTGTAGTGGTGGCATCGTGTCCTTTTTCGTGTACATGCGGTATGGGTACTACAGTCCGCGCCCCCCCCCCTGTCGAGGGAACCCGCGAGCTAGAAAGCGGGTTTGTGGGTCGGTCCCGCCTTTCAAGGTGACGTGGTTTTGTTGGCTAGCTGCTAGTTTAGGCGACGTACACGGAAGGCACCCTCTCTCCGTGACCTTAATTTTTTTTTCGTGTTTAGCTGCCCGATCCGAGGTTCTGCAGCGGGAGGCGCCAGTCGGGTCTCTGGCGACATAGCCCCAATCAACTCCGTGAAAACTCCCCCACAACTAGTGAAGAGTTGGTGTTCACCCCTTGCCGTGGATAAGCGTCGGGGATAAGCTAGCGGTAGCCATAGTGTGTAACCTATTTAGCTGAGGTTTTCTTGTGCCAATCATCGTAGCACGCGCAATAGTCAGCTCTGCCGCGGGTGGCAGTCTCTCTTTGTATGACAGATGGGTTGCGATCTCGTGATTAAGTAAGTAAAAGTATGTTCTTGCTGACGGAGGATTTCGATGTTTTCTCTGAACCTTCGACTGAATAGACAAGGGGCGGGTGAGTTCGTAGGTTTTGCGGCGTGCTTTCGGTGGTTTACGCTAGCTAGCAAGGGAATTGCGAAGAGTGTTGCGCGTTGCGGTTGACGTACGCTAGCGAGATGGGCCCGCAGCGTCGCTGCGGTTGCTGACAGTTTCAGGTCAATTTCCTTCAGTAGTGTTCCACCAGACGCGTCTATGTGCCAAGGGTAACGCGGTATTTAAGAGATGGGTTCCTTTGCCCAACAATGAGATGGGTTCCTTTGCCCAACAATGAAGGACCAAATGGTTTTCTGTTGTCGTGTGTGTGTTTGTTATTAGCGTTGATAGTCCTAACCGGTTGACCAATGAAAAGAAGTCACTTACAGTGCGGCTGAAAACCGAAAAATGCTTCTAAAGGCCATGATCTGGGACCCCGTGAGGGGGCGTCATGGGGGCGGATAACCACTACTCTCCAAATGTGTGTACCGGAGAGGGTCCGAAAACCAGGTCTTGGCAACCTACACCGCTCTTTGTTGTTTGCCGTTATTTTTCGGCACACAAGAACGTGTTGCTGTTGTCTGCAACAACCATGAAGGTCTACTGTACGTACAACTAGGAGGGGAACTACACGTCTTCCACGCCTCGACTTGGATGAGCCCTTGACCGTAGATTGAACGGCTGCTACCGGCCCCTCGCACACACTCACTCATGAAACATGCGACGAGCAGAATAATTTTTGAGCGAGAGTGAAACCGAGTTTGAGCAGGATGAACTGAGCGAGGATCAATCAACATCGATACGTCAGGCAGGTCAAGGCAGGTAAAAGTAAAAGGGTGCGCAAGGGGGAGAATTACTATTGTCTCTTCCTGAATATGCACGCATTCCCTCGAAGAATGCCAGCCGTTTCATCACACCAGAGGAAATTCATCCTCCGTCAGACTGAGCACAGACAGACCTCCGAAACATCCTCCTCCACCAGACTGAGAACAGACCTCCAGAACATCCTCCTCCATCAGACTGAAAGCACAGACCTCCAGAACATCGAACTTTCGCGAAAGGCAAGCCCCACAAGAAAAATCTACATCTCGACACGGTGTCTTTTTCGGCCCGCCCCGACGAGGGTTACCTACTACTCCAAGACCTGCTTAACCAATGACGTGTTGACGCTCGTTGGGCTGCAGGAGGACCGCGGCCGGGCACCCAACAGGTCGATGGTGGTCTCGTAGCCGAGGAACACGAGGCCGTGCATCGGGAACGCGCGCAGCATGGCCGCTCCCAGCCCCCTGAATAGCACCGGCATGCCCTCCGCCCTGCGGCAACAGAAAGTCACCACAAAAGGGTGTATGTTGTCATAGGAGTGTCAGGGTTAGAATTTACTCGGAAGGAGGATTTTCTTGTTGTACCCCAAGAAGCCGTCCCGATGTTCTGTTCGGTTCCCCCCCCTCAGAGCGTTCGTGCTATATCGTAAGGATAGCGCTGAGAAACACGCTTCCATAATTACGGGCTAGAATATCCCTGATGAGGCAACGCGGCCCCCCAAGACCTTGGGGCGATCTACGCCCAGGTCGGGTGGGACCCCGGAGCCGCCGCCGCACCATATCCACGCAACACAAAATAGCCGAAAAAAGCTTTTGTCATCAACTGCAAAAGAACCGTGATTTTCCTCTCACAGGCCAACACGCAACAGCAGTAATAATCGTCGTACATTCCGCCACGAAATACGGCAACCACCACTACCCCGCTTGGTACAAAATAGTTCCCCAAACCTCAGGGTCTTCATCAAGCAGTCCCGCACGCCTCGGTACACCCCAGGCTCCGCCGTCTGCATCCTCGTCTTGATCACGTCCAGGCAGTAGATAGGCGGGAGCCACATCACGCACCCCGCTAGCCCCCCCGCCAGGGCCAGGAGGATCGGCTCGGGCACCGCCGTGCTTGTCCGGTCCGGAGGCAAGAAGTAGTCCTTGGCAATCTCGTACTATAGGTTTGCATGAAAGAGGGGGAAAGGGAGGGTCTGCAAGTCGAGCCGTAGTCGTTGGACCATTGACCTAGAGCATTCCTGCCATGCCGGAACGGAGCGATATGTCGGGTTTTCGCCGGCCCAGGCTGCGCTGCACAAGGATGAACCAGGTATGTCATTGATTGATTGGGCATCCCGGCTAACCAAACGTTTCACATTCGGCAGGCAGGGGGCACTCGAAATATACTCACGGTCATTTTTTAAGTCGTCGTATATGCGGTAGACTAGCACGAAGGGGGTATTGCTCTCGGAGCTACCCTCGCGGGTGAAAGTGTCGCGGACGTGTTTCGGCGGCAAGTGTGATCTCGAGCGGGAATTGTCCCTCTAGCGAGAGAAGTCGTTTCCGTCCGGGAAAGGTTGTTGTTTCTGCATGTCCTGCTTGAAATTTCGTTTCTTGTTTCTTCCTCTAGCACTTGGGCTAGATCCACCCATCCCCGTTCAGCTATCACAGGCGCTTCCCCTTTCCATCCAACGCCAGGAAACCTGGTTTGGCCCACACAGGAGTTGTTCCCGTAGAAGGCCGCATAACTAAGGCCGGTGAAATCGCTCGACCCAGACGAAATAGTCAGGTCGTCTCATACTCTGGATAAGGGCCGGGTACCCGGTATAAGGCGGCCAACTCTCTTTCGCATTATGCGGCCGAACACATGGACCACCACTGCATTCTATTTTGACCGCACCGACGGGTAGTAGATGCCGAACTGAAGAGGTTCCCTGAGCATGGTCGCTCCCATGCCCCGACATAGCCCCATAGCAATACCCTCCCTGTAACAACATGGCAGTGGACAGACAATCAAACACCGTGCGGAGACGTCAGGAGTGAGTGATTAGTCGCCTGAGTCGGGACACAGAATAAATGAGGTACATCGTTCTTCGGAGGGACACAGCACGTCCACGCTCCTCCGACCAAACCAACATCCACGGGATCGGTAGCCTGTAGGGAAATCTGCCACTCCGTTCCACTGCTCGCCTCCAATAGCTTACACCTCCCCGAGGATCACAGCCACAGACGCTGCGCTCGGCATTGCAGCTACCTACCCTCAGCAGTCCTGTGGAGCCCGCAGTCGTCGTCCCGTATTGGACAACAGGCCACCATACGGAACTACTACCACCGTGCAAGAAGCACTCGCGGAGATCTCTCCGCGGAGTATTGCCGTCGAAGGCGAGGAAGCTATGAACCGGGGCCTCCCTCCCCTCCCCCCCGGCCGGAAAGCAATGCTTGCGGCCTCTCACCTTCGCACAAGGTCCACAACGCAAGCCCCGCTCCAGGAGTACGGCGATTGCAGCTTCTTTCCTTGTCGCACCTGCCGCCGCCCACCGGGGGCGAGGAGACACATCACTTTCGCGGTCATTCTTCGTCAGGTAGTACAGGGGAATCGCTCAAGTCGAGATAGACACGCCAACGGAGCGAGTTTCTCGCGTTTTTCGGGAAGAGCTTTGCTCTGCTATTGTTTTTGTCTTCGATGTTGTTGTTTGTTGTTGTTGTTGTTGTTGTTGTTGTTGTTGTTGTTGTTGTTGTTGTTGTTTTGTTGTTGTTGTAGTTGTTTTGTCTTCATATTGACAAATATTTCCCATCTCTACTCAGTACCTATATCCGTACTGGTCCAACTGACTCGGAGTATATCTAACTATATTCCATGAGCTTCTTGCGGTACGGGGAGGGGTGCACCTCCGATTGCGTGTTCGGCTAGCGGGCGAGGCTCCTCTCACAGCAAACACGGCCTTACCGAGAGGTCCGACACACTGGAGTGCGTTCGACGCCTGCTTCGGTCTCTGTTTTCACCTGCATGACTCCCTTAACCCTCTCGAACACCTGTCGCATAGGAGCGTTCATTACGCCAGCCCACGCCCCAGCGATTCCTTTCTCAGGGAGGGTCAGCTTGTCGGTTGCTTTCGCCTCTCTCCGCCTGACCAAACCAGCAGGAACGAAATTTCCAGTAGCGCCCACAGACCACCAAAGGTTAGATGGTCCCTTCTCTGATGGTATCGACTATCGAGCAATCGGTTCTCCATGTTAGAGCATGTCTCACATAAAGAAAAGAGAGAATTAAAAAAATTACGCTACTTATCCCGAGGGCCTGCACGTCTATGACGATCGCGATTTTTTCAGTATTCAGTAGAGGTAGGCTACCTTGATGAATGCTCACCGTAGAAGAAACCTGCCGGCGTAGCCGTAGGAGGAAAATGACACAGCGAACATAGCTCCGTAGCCAACGACTGGAGAGAGGAGGCCCCGGTATAAGGACAGCGTCTGTGAGAGGTAAATGACAACGGGTGGACGGGAGCTATGATAGCTAAGGTTTTGCAGACGGGTTCAAGCTATTGCGCGCGCACAGGGAAACGGGATCGGGACAACAAATTACCACTCGACAACCACGACGACGACGGTGCATCTGTCGAATCGCACGTAGACTGTCGTCAGTATCAACTCCAGGCTGAGATTTCGAGCTCCCGACTTTGGAGACTCACGAGCGATTCGTGCACGCCTACCATGGCATGGATCCATAGAGCTCATCACTTTTGTAGACTTCATGTAGACGCAATTCGTGTACCCCTGCCGTTGGCATGAATCGCCTCGACTCACCCCTTCTTTTCTCGCCATCGATGTGAGTACATTCGCGATGCTCGAGTATCTCGAGCGCCCAGAAGTCTGGAGTCTGTGAGAAAATATTGCATTGAAGGAAAAGCACACGGCCAACCGGTGTCATGCGGCGACAAGGTTAGAGAGGACTGGCCATCATCCCTCCGAAAATATGGAGTCTGGCGTGTACTTATTATGCAGTCAGTGATGCTTGTGCGGCAAAAAACAAAGCATTCACACGCACGCACATATGTGTCCTGGTTCTAACCACCCGCAAAAGCTTTCAAGCTCCTTCTCATGCTCTGCGTAGGATAGGTGCAGCTGACTTTGCGAATCGTGACTGTGATCGTTAATAAATGTGCAGCCAACGGCAGGAGACCTCTTCCCTCACCCTCTGTCGTAGAGTCTGGAGAGCACGCGGCAAAACAACTCCGAAGACCATGGACCAGTACACAAATCACCGTGAGAACACAACCTACCTGGACTTTATGGTGTCTAACGGGTAGACCACCGTCATTCCGATGACCCCGCCAACGGTACCTCCGGCAAGCTCTTGCCAGAATGAAGGCATCCCCTGCTCCCCTGGAGATGCCCACAAGCTATGTATGAAGGAATCCAGGAGATTCACACCTCTGGTGTATGTATGGATATTCAGATCAACCGACAAAGCTTAGCCAAAGGGGCGCTATCGGGCATCACCCGTTCATATGTCTATGGCACATACACACAATTCACCGGTGTGCTACTCTGCTGCTTGCTGCTCCTCGTACAGCAGTTGGTCGTCGGCCCAACCCGGTGTTCCTCTTGGAGGGAACCGCTGTCATTTACGCCGTATGTGCCGTTTCGGGTGCTTTCATTGTCTCACCGCCTACAGTAGACACTTACTCCCAACACTGCTGTCGGGTGGATGTGGGAATGCTGTCGGGTGGTACAAGGCGGTTCTCGACAGTCTCCCTTCTCCCTTCCTCACATATACCGCTGCTGCCATTGCCATGACGTGGCACTTTTTTCTGACTCTGAGGGCGCAAAACCTTGTTTGTTTGCAGGGAAAATTTGGTGCATGCTTTGCACAGATCGCCCCGGAGAGAAAAAACCCTGGGGCACGCACTTACGCCCGCATGTATACGCGACGTACGCGTAGTTGGCAATGTGTACAAAGTGCGGCTTCATTCGTCTTGACCAAATCAATGCAACTGTGTCATGAAGAATGATCAGGCATTACGCTTAATCTACAGATTTTTACGAAACGTATGTTGGCCAGACTTTAGGTTTGATAGTGGTGCGTGTATGCATAGACTAGTTGTGTTCACAGTAAGATCACAGTTGTAAGATCGTGCTGATATTTACCCAGTATGTAATGTAGTATAGGCTACCACACCTTCCTCCCATATGTTTCCTCTCCAAGGGCAAACACACGAAACTTCGTGTGAATGCTTAGGGTTATGACACACTGCTATAAACTAGACGAGAAGATGAGAGCTACGCTTCAATGCATGTATGTATAGCTGAAATCACCCCGCCCCGAGATTTCGTTACATACCTGGTCAGAACATGTTTAGAAAATCGCGACTTTCGAGGGAAGCAAGACGTTGCTGAGCCTTTATCCCTAGTTGGCGTTTTTTTTTGCGGATCCCAATGGAACTGCTATGCCGTCATGAGTGGCGACCCATGTTGTGTTGGTATTGGTGGGCGTTGCCCAAATGATTTAGAGTCGACGGCGCCCAATGCCGACGTATCGCCGTCAAAAATACAGCAAGGGTTGTTATTGTACTTGGACCAACTCCAAAGCACGCATATAGCATTCAGCAGCCACAAATCCTGAAGAAGGAAACGCGGCTCGAGTCATTTCGTCGCGACCGTGGCTGCTTAGCCTCGCGCGTAGCGATGAGAAGTAGACGCGTGTGTCGATTAATTGAACGGGTCGCGTTCGTCAATGAACCGGTTACACGCGCCGTGAGGGGAATGGGACGAGGCCTCTCTGAGCTCATGCCACCAAGGGTAAGTCCTTGAGGGTTTTCTGGTGTGAGGTGCGCGCACATGCAGCGGTCCCGCACCGGTGCAAGGGTGCTAGCTCCCATTGGGGGCACCAGAAGGGTAGATTTGGAAGATGGAATGGCTCGACGCGCGAGTGGCATAGGGGCGGACCCTATGCTATACCGAAGGCCGAAGGGGGTGATATGTTGAGTAGAACACGCGTTGGACGAGACGAGAAAGTCTGTTCGGATCAGCTCAAAAAAGGGATGATCCAACCTTGTGGCACCTGAAACACATAACTTCTCAGACTGCAGACAACGTGATTCGCTCAGTTCATCCACGGTAGTGCGGTACAGAGGGCGCCGGCCCGCAGCGAAAGAGTAATCCAAATACCGCGGCCGACCGAAGATCTACTTGGCGTTACCCAACAATCAAACGAAATGATAGGGTGCAAACACCCATTGTTCACATACATGCCCGAAGTACAGCAGCCAGAACACCGGCCCTCGAGAACAAGGGGCATTGTTGAGCACCTCTCACCATTTGCCCCTGCATCCCGACGTGCCTTGCTTCCAGCAGGTGCGACGTTCAGCGAAAAGCAAGCGCCGATGGTTCGCCACCACATTTCCCTCTCCTGAATAAAGTGTCTTTCGGTTTGTAACCAACAAGCTCTTGACCGCTAGAGCGCAGGCAGTCGACGCAAGAGTGTCAAGCCCTGCGCATAGATACTATTTTGGACACCGTTTTATCGACCTCTCAGAACCACTCGTCTTCATTTCCACGTCCGTTTAGCCTTTGGGCAGAAAACTTCCTGCATTTGATACTTGAAACCTACACAGATCGTTCGTGTCGCATCCGTTTCAACTCTCGCCCCTCAACACCCAAGCGTAACAGCATCTGCCTTCAGCTCAAACGAACGTGTTATCACTGGAACGGACTATCTCGGCGTCATGTCCCTCACTTTGTACGGCGGACACACTTAATCGGCTTTCTGAACTCTACCAAGCGTTACTAGCTAACCCACGTTCGCAATCTCTCTTTTGACTGCTGTACAAGTCTGTGAGTGAGAAAGCCAAAATCACCTGTCTACTTCACGTCGACCTCGTTGTACGCGTAGGAGACGCCTTCAACCGCGACAGCGATGACGAGATAGGTAAAAAAAACAGGTTAGAACTGACAACGCTTTGAGAGCACTTCGAACGACCACGCTAACCATTTCAATCCGCTCAAGCGCTTTTCCGCAGTACGTGGGGCGTCTTACGGCGACGCGGCGCCTGCACCCAATACACACTAGGTTACTCCTGAGAACAGCACTAAAAATACCTGGGTTGCTGCAGCATCCCAGACCCAAACGTGGAAGGAAATAAACCACGAACAATGCACAACTTTATCCACACCTCAGACAAGGGACCGGGCGAAAACGGCACCAATACTCTCCCACACGGGTAACACGTACAACCTGACGACCCCATGACAAACATCAACATAGAACACTCCAAACACACCACCAATACATACCACGACAACACTTAATACCCCCCCAGCTACTACCTCACGCACACAAATGCGAGAAAAACGCTGGGAAGACAGTCTCGCCCGCCTCGTCACCCGCACATTGATTGATATATATACCTGAGGAGATGTGCGACTCGGGGTGAACCCGGCCTTCGCCTTCATTCTCCAATGGGTAGGCTAGGTGCATCACTAAACACCTTTCCATGCGAGGAGGCCCTGAGGGGCGGCATGAAGGACCACTTTCCGAAGAGCCCATTCACCAACCATCTTGGGCACGACCACAAACTTGTACGGCCAAAACGTGACTTCTTAGCCTCCAAAACAGTTCTTTTTACGTACAGCAGCAGCGTGTGCTGTCTACACCTTTCTAAAGGAAGACCCTCGGCACCAAAAACGTAATGGTCCTACGAAAAACTTGTTCTCTTCGCTTTGACGGCGCAACGCCCAGGGATTCGTCGACAACCAACGGCGGCGAGTAGAAACTGCCGTCCGCGTCACCTCCTCAAAGGCCGGCGAAGGGCGCCCGTACACCTCACGCACGCATGCATTCAAAAATCCTTAACATCTAGCCAACCTGGTTCGAGAGCCAGACCGGACAACGTGTCTGCACCCCCGGCTGGCTAAGGTTTACACGCCACCACAACCATCACGTGTATACGAGCACGCTTGGCCGGTCCGTGCGTCCGTCTACCTGCTCCTCCCGCTGCGATGTTTTCGCACCTGCTACAGACATGACTTCGATGCTTTGCACCTGCCACCCCTGCCACTCCTCTTACCCCTCCTCCCATTGCATCCCTTCGATGCTTTGCCCGCTGCTCGAGAAGCCGTGCCGGACGTACACGCCGTCGACGATTATCGTCTCGAAGCGCTGACGGGACGGCTCGTAGTACGCGCTGCGCCACGGGGCGGGAAAGGACGGGGCAGCGCGAGACGGCGGGATCTCGGTGTGATCGCTCGCGAAGCGTACCCGGCGGCGGCGGCGGCGGCGGCGTTGTTCTCGCCTCTGGAGCTCCCTCAGCGACTCGTAGCGCGGTGGCGCGTTCTCGGCCTCTGCTGCCTCCGCTTCCGCGTCTTCGAGGTGTTCTTTCACGGAAAGGTTATGTCTTTGCTGCTGAGATGACCGGAGCGTGAACAGAGGGGGGGGGGGTGTTCGCGAACAGGGACATTCGGGGAGGTGGGGAGGACGGACGAATGAATGTGTGTGTGGGCAACTGTTATTATTGTCTGCGAAGTCGTCGACGTATACGCTCGTAAAGGCTTGTGGAGCAGGAATATACACGTACTGAAGAACTTGGTTTTTGGTCTTTTTTATAATTATTTCGGACTGTCGGTTTCGCCTTCATTGTCTGGGTCATCGAGAAGCACCACCGCCGAAAAACCCGGCGCGCAATATCTCGGAGGCAAACGGACATGGTGGCAGTGCAGCCGCTGCTATCCGGGCGCGACTTGGTTTCCATCCGCGGGGCCGCACACAAGCACGTCTCCCTCTGCCGCCGCAAAAGCAGCAGTCGATGTGTCCTGAGGCAACCTACAAACGACTGCTGTG